GTCACAGTTTTGTAGGGGTAGATTAGGAAAATCACTCTCTGTTTTTACATGAAGTCACAAATGCATCTAATATGGAAATAGTAAGAAAGGTTACGCAAAGAGATGAAAGAGAAAAGTCTTTACTAATGTAAGCTAATGTTGTCATCAAGCTTTAGGTGTAGTTTATACCTATGGGGCACCAAAATTGACTAAATGTAGTAAAAAATTTAACAGTCCAGTCAAAATATAACATTATTAATTAAATAATTAAAATGGAGTGTAGAAAAGTTTTTTCTTCAACCTCAAATCAGTTGGTCATAAAATAAACTATGTTTTTGCTTTACCACCAATTAGAGATTGGTTATATTTGTAAAAGTAGCATTTTAGCAGCCAGGCTAATGCTTACTAAGCTTGCTATCTTGCGCTACTTGAAAGCTTACAAACCAGCACTCTTAAGTCCTGGACTTTAGTGTGTTATCCTTGAAATTTTGTAGATTTGTTTGATTTAATGTCTCTTTTCTCATAAAACACTCAACTAAAAAACGTTTAAGTTGTGCTAGCTAGCATTGACAGCAAATGCTTTAGCTATTGTTAAAAGAGTGATGCTACAGCAGGAGGCCGCTTAAACAACAACAGAAAAGCTTTCATCTCATTATATCTAATTATCGTAATTAGATATAATAATGAGGATGTTCTATTTTGGGTCTCATAAATCTTGTTTCTTTTTTCCAGATATGATATCTAACTGTGTGAGTGTGTGTGTGTGTGTGTGTGTGTGGGTGGGTGTGGGTGGGTGTGTGTAGGTGTGATGAGTGTCTTTAAGCCTAATTTTCCAGGGAGAGAAATGTCGGGAAAGTGACTCATTGATTCATTTGTTTCAGAGATTCAGTGATCAGCAGCATATTCAGAGACACTAAAGAGATCCAGATGTGACTCCATCTCTGACTTTTGTTGAGACATGAATCCCTGGCTGCTCTCGCTGTATCTGTATCACATCCTTCTAAATATAGACTGCAGATTTCCAAAATATGAATCCTAAAAAAATATGGATGAAACTAACAATTGCTAACAATTGTCAGGCCTTTGGTGCTTGGATGACAAATATATGCACCACATTTTCTCTCTCACAGATAAACCGAAACGAAAGGGGACAAAAAAGCCATTGACGAGCTAAGTTGTAGTACCCTATTTGCGAGGTGAGGTTGCTGTTTACAGTAGCTAGTTAGCAAAGTTAATCTGGTGAGCGTCATTGTTTCAGCTAATCCAGTCAGTAAAGTAGCCATTTTGTGGTTGTTGTGCATCATAACAGTGCAAACAATGTTGTAACTGCACAAAATGAGCACTCATTAGAGTGCAGATGTTCACCACGTGTGTCTGTAATGACCACTACTGTAATGTTTGATTGAATGAACCCAACCCACAATTGACTAACCCTCCATCTAGACTGCAAGAGTATCAGACAAGTTTTTTACCCGCACATCTCTCACAAGTACCGCACAGGCATGCGTCTTCGGTTCTTCTCATGGCCGTTTAAATGTCACTTGAAGCGTTTGTTTAGGCAATAAAAAGGCACAGAATATCTGTGTCTCTGGGCGCAGAGCAGCACATAAGCCGAGCGGCAGTTGAGTGGCGGTTATGCAGTCAGCTGTGTGTGTAGTTCCGTTAGCTGTTAGTTGCCTAACAATAAATGTAACTGTTTCCCCCATAAACGTACAGTCTACGGTCTTCCTCCACTGTGTCTCTGACCGCAGAGTAGTGGCTGGGGGTCAGAGATGCACTCATCTGTGTTATCTCTAGTGGCCCCTACCGGCCGGGGACCGTTTAAGAGACGTGAGTGAGGAGTGAGCAGACAGTCAATGGCAGTATTAGGCAAGAAAAGGAGTTTTGAGAGAGTGTGAGTCACCACAACCATTAGAGGTCCTTCAGCATGCAGCCTTAACTAGCCACCCGCAATTGCATGCAGTTTGCTGCAGCAGAATGTGACATTAGCCGTGGACAGACACAGAGGTGCACACACCCTCACGGACACATGCACATATGCGAGCTATTGCGTGGTTCTCCTGGCGGAGATAATGACAGGGCAGACATTGGGTTGATAATATAAGCCAGGAGCCCTGGAATACAAGCAACCACTTTGTGGAAGCTAATGTGAATTCACAATAAGAATAAAGACAATTAGTATAGCGGGCCTAGTTAAGGGGTGTGTACATGTAAGAGTAAGTAGTAATGTTTGTGTATTTCATACTTTTTTGCATCTACTAATGCAGCAAACATTTTTTGGTGTATCATCCACAATATAATCGTTGAAGTTTTAAGTGAATAATTGTTTTTATTCTACACTTTTTGTTGAGTTATGTGAACATGAAGGACACACAATAGGAAGCCTACGATTTTGTCCAAACAACACCATCATTTGTTTTCTGACCATTTAATATTAATAATAATTATGATTATAATTATAGTAATAAATCAGATTACTGTAGCGCTTTTCAAAGTTCTCAAAGCTGCTTTACATATGCTGCTGCCCTCTCGGTATGACATGCACAATGAGGTTGGGAGGTGAATGAATGGAAAACATAATAATGATTAATAAAAGTGTTGCAAAAAATATGTATAAAAAAGGTTCTTTGGATTTTAATTTTGACTTAGAGAAACTACCGTTGGCTTTGATGTATCATACATAAGTAACAATCGAGTCCATCTCCTAACATTACGAAACATTGTGTACAAGCAACAAAAACAATCATAATCACTAAGACCGTACTCTACAGTCAGAGAACGACCACAGTAAAAGTACTCCTGAAGAGCATCTACGTACCTCTAACTCGAACAAAGCAGCAGCCACATTTGCTGAGAATTTTTCTGAACAGGTGCTGACACCCACAGCCTCGCTGGTGGTGACCCCCTCTCATGATGATCCACTCCTGCTGCTAGACTTAAGACTATCAGAAGCAGACATCATGCTGGACGGACACACACACAAGCACATGTACGCACACACACACACACACACACACACACACACACACACACACACTATTCCTGTGGTAATACCCTGAGGAGATGGGAGGCAAAGTGTACCGAGAGCTCCACAGTCATAGTCCAACTCTGAGTAGAAACCCCTGGGACAAAAATGCCGTTTCTATCCCATGATTTGAAGAATAACAGCGGAAAAACCCAGAGAGACAGCACTCTCCTCCACTCGCCAGCCTCTCTGTGTGGTCAGATAGTGGACAAAGATTATGAGAGGGACCAGAAATAAGTGAGGGAGTGACAGAGAGGCAGGGAATGGGAGGGGCTGTGATGAGGGAGGGGGTGGTGGCTAACATGGTGCACTGCTGTGCCAGCATCCCTCTCCCCTCTCCCCTCACACCTCGCTTATCAGCTTCTCTTCTCAGTGTTATCTCTGTGGCTGCAGGACCTTCAGTGCTGTCATCGCATGAGCAAAGGACTTTTCCATGAAATAAGCAATAACTTCAACTGTTCAAATTTCTCTTCAACCACGCAGCAGGCTAAATTACTAAAATATCACAGAATTATATGAAATATAATTGCACGCATGTACATACTCTGTCTCATGCAATGACCCACTAACACAAACAGCTACAGCCAAATGTCTGCATTTTAAGGCAGCGGTTCCCAACCTGGAGGTCGGGACTCCCTCAGGGTGCCACAAGATAATTTAAGGAGTCATTAGATGATGACAGGGTCAGAAAAAAGTTTTTCTTCTTAATCTTAATCCAGCCACCAACAACTAAAAGTTCAAAGAGTATATTTACAATTGTGGGATTGCCTCCACACAGCTCTCTACATGGTGGCGGCTGGGCCTGCGGCTAGCAGCTAACGACACACACAGCCCCCGAACAATGCAAACAAGGGCACCAGTGATGACAGAGCTAACAGAGTTTACCATGGGGGAACCGGAGGGTGGGGGTTATGCTTATGTGATGATGCTCGGGGTTGGGATGATGTTGTCAGCAGTAATCGCCATATGAATGCAGTGCAGAGCGGCGGCAATTAGCTAGCCAGTGGGGCACACACACTAGGACTCACATGCACTAACATGCATGCGCAGGCAACGTAACCAAAGCAAAGAGGATCTCGGATTACAACACACAGACTTCATTCTCTGCTCAGGACGACATTACCCCACCATCTTTACATATAGTTGTTTGCTGGTATAGTAATGCTCTTTTAAAACTGCAGAATAACCTCCCTCTCTAATCGATAAGTCAGTTGTCTGCTCTCTTTTGCCACCAAAGGTACTGAAGCATTTCCTCTGCTGCGGAAAAACCAACATGTGGAAATGTCCCACACACAGCAAACTGAGCTGGCAGGATGAAGGCAGACCGATTTAATCTGAAACCCAAGATTAAGCATTCATGACTAGATGATCTTCTGAGCACAGCTGCCCAGGCTCGTGGCAGCCGGGAGTGTGATTTAAAGAGATTTATGCATAAACATATACAAACCCAAACAAGGATAAAGCCAGTGAAGAAGAAAAACAAACAGAAAGATAAGACTTCAGCTGCTGTTACTATGTGACACACGTTTTTGTAAATCAGACAGCTCCACGCACGCACAGATAAGCATACATTCACGTCACATGTCGACCAACATTACCCTGGAATCTCAATCCACTGAGGACAGATTACTAAAAATATCAAAATGCTCTCTTGGCCGTCAAGTTAAGCTTTAAAAAACTCTGCTGACATGATGGTCCATGTGAGCTGAAAAGCACTGATCTCTCCACAATGTTGGATTATTATATGTGCATGCATGTGTGTGTGGGCGTGCACATGCCTAATTAGCCAATATTTAATTATAAGGATATGGTCATGTGTGCTTTCTGTTTTTGGTGTTGCCTTTTGTATTTAAAAGTTCAAAAGCATCCATGATGTGTTGTGTGCAAAGTGAAACATCTTCAGTTGAAACCCTAATACTCTTGCTTCCTGTCAGATAGCTCCCCATGGTTGACATAAGAGGGGCACACAGCAGAACACAAGAGTATAGCAGATTACCTTTGCATTCTGCAGCCACACTGGACTTCCTGGCCCACTTGAACTGCGTCTGAGTGTCCTGGTTGCTTTCATTCAACAACAGTCTCTCTGGGCTGGTGTCTGAAACCTGACACAAAAGACAGATTAAACAGTTAACAAGTTAAAGTTAAATCAAAAACATCTTGTCCGCTTTACCAAATCACTTTATTTGTAGCTGTATTAAACGTATACGTGTGACAGATTTAGAGGTATAGGCAGGAACTGACAGAACAAAAAGAGTGATTGAGCTAATTACGCCACTTGTCCACTCTATTTCACCTCTCTCTCTTTCTTATTTTTGCTTCAGCTTAAGTGGTTTCTTATCTTATCTGAGGAATTTCACTGAGAGGACTAAACTGATCAGGAGAGGACAGGGCCACTTCAAATCCTGAGCCAAAGAAGTCTGATGCTGTCTGATGAAGAAGTGAGATTCATTTCAATTGAAAAGTTCAATCTCATCTATACAACACTAAAAAACAGAAATCTGGGCTTGATTTGCCAAACAATCAACAGACAAATTGTATCAGCACATGAGCTAGATTACTAAAAATCATGATATGTTTTTTTTAATTACATGGCCAATTACAATTAAACTATGCTTGACTTAAAATCAACCCTATTTCTAAAACTAATGAATATAATAATATAGATTATATGATGAGCTGCAGCAATGTTTGGGTGTTTCAATTCCTATTACAAAGAGTATAAAGGCAATTTGTCACAAATAGATGCGTGTAGAATATTCTTACTTTCAGGTGTGGTCATCTTGTTTTGAGTTATTAATGATGGGTCTAACTCCATTACATTTCACACAATTTCAGCATTTAAGTGTATAAAAATTAAGAGTAGCCCAAGTTGATATACGCAAGTTTTTAACATTGAAGTTTGTTATTTACATTACCTCACTTGCACAACATTGGCCTGTTAAACCAAAGACACTCACTTTATCAGCCCTGTAACCCAGAAGTTGTTCAGTCCGCCCTTGCACTTTTGCCAAAGTCTTCATTTTGCATCTCTTTCTCTTCCGTTTGTCCAAATGTGACGTCCTTTCCCTTCACCTAAATGTTTTTAAATTCAGTCTTCTCCCCTCGATTAAGCACCCATCCCCAATTATTTCATGTTTACCTAATTAAAAAACAGAAATAAGTTGAAAAAGATCTCTGTCATCCTGCCTGATGTCCAGCAGAAGGACAAAAGTAGACAAATTGGGAAGATGAGGACAGCTGTTCAATTGCAGTGGGATCTGTCCTCAGGCCCTTCTGCATAAGAGGAGGCTCAATCTGTCCAGACAGGTCCGGCCACATCCCACAGGCTGATTTCAGAATGTGACCATCCCTAAAGCAGGAGTTTTAACTAACTCAAAATAGCTCAAAAAGTGCATACCATTGTCATTGAGTAGACCAGATTAAAATGACTCTATGATTTCCTTGTTTGATTTTCTTCAGTCCCGTTTCATTCATTTACACTTTTTATTCCAGTTTCTACGACTGCACTGCAAGTCCTGCAGTGGAACCAAAAATAGATCTCAATCTCACTTTAGAGTTCAGATGCACTTCAGATTTAAATCATGTTCAGGGAGTTTGTACATTCCTAATATTTAGGACACATGTATAACTGGGTGTTCATCAGTTTCATTCTACTATGACCCAATTACATAAAACTGATATTAGAGCCTGTGAATTGTGCGTGAGAGCCTCATCCTGAGATACTTCTGAGAAACATCATCACTCAGCCTCGGCTGCCACTGCAGTTCTGTGACACCGCTTGATGCTTAAACTATTGAGTTTAAGTTTATCATCTTGATTTGTGCCGTTTCATTGTGGGTCATATGTATTTGTGACTATTATTTCCCCAAAAATATCAAAATAAAGACAAAAAGAGAGGAAAAATGGTGTCGAACTTGAAAATCTCTTTAGTTTAAAAATTAAAAACAGGTAAAAGTAGCAGGAAATATGGACAACACTGGTGTTGTGTTGAAAGATGAAAATGGCCAGAAAGTAATCCTCTCCATAAAGCTGTACTAATTGGGATGAGCTAAGCACAGAAGTTGAACATCCAGGGTCTTTGTGAAGACTCTGCAGAGACTCCTCCTCTCAGTTTTATGTCAGCACAACGATATATGGGATGGAAATGCGTAAAGTACCTCTATTTACATGCCCAGGAGGAAACTGTGACCTCTCGGCTGCTCTGAAAACACAGTAGGAGTGTTGGAGGAAGTCAGAAGGCATCCAACACTCCTACTGTGACACAAGTCACAAAGGTGTGACATACACTGCCCGACACGTGGATACATCTACATTTACAGCTGGTTGATTTATGTTGAGTGTTTATTCTTTATGTTCAGTTAGTTTGATCAAAGGGATTTCTCTGTACTGATGAGGGGGGGTAGATCGTGCAGTTCTTCCTCTGAATATTCACTTCTTTGCTTTGGTTTCATGTGTGGTTTCACATTGATCTGTGACATAAAACATTTGGCATGTCTGAGATTCCTAAACAGTTTTCATTGAGAGAAATGCTTTCTTGTACAACACGGGGGAGGTGTGTTTCATGAAAATACCTGGAAAACCACTGTCAGCGCTCCTCTTTCGACAATTTAAATATTCCCAAATCACAGTTCTTTTGCTTTGATTTCAGTATTCAGGAAAACTTGAGTACACGTGTAAACATTTGCATGTGTTTACACACAAGCTACATTTCAGTCATTAGTGTCGACAGTTATGTTTGCTTCAGAAAGCAGCAACAGAGTCAAAGCATGAGTTGACCATGGCCACATGTGACAGGTTATTCTGAGGTGGGTTGTTCTTCATTTAGCCCTACTGTGTGTTCAGCAGGGCTTTAAGATGCTGATCCAGTTACTCAACAGCAAAAGGCACACTGAGCTCATACAACCACGCCCACTTCATGACACCCAGATAACACACTCATAATCCCTGACTGACAGACGCATGTTTTCTCTTCGTCAATCTGACAAACTTCTTTCAGGGTGGCAGATCTGAAGCTTTTCATATAGACTACAGCGAGTTAGGATTTACCAACAACGATGTGCCTACAATGAGGAGATGATTTCAACTTGGTATTATGTGTAATTACGGAGAGATTTCTTGAAAAATTCATCCTTTCTAAATTTCAATCTCTGGAGCGCACCTGATTGCACCTTTGTTGCTACAGACAACATCCACATAGTTTCTTTTTTTTGATTTTCTTGTAGATGTAGCCAAAGGATACAACAACGTCTCACCTGTTCTGCTGCTAGAAGATGGCCACTGCAGACGTTCACCTGGGCTCAGGCCCTGATGAGGATGACGTGAGTCTGTCGGGGAGCGAGTCCGACTCAGACAGCATCCTCTCTGATGACTCGGTGCTTCCAGACTACACTCCAGAGGAAGCAGACGGGCCTGCGGCATCAACACTGTATCGAGCATGCGCGCGTAATGAACCCGTCTCTCTGCAGAGAGTTCTGGAGAGAGGGGTCACAAAAGCGGAGGTCACAGAGCTGGACATCAATGGCATGGTGAGAGTCTCATTCATAATGATGTAAACTATAGCTCATCATGTCAACACTCACACAGTGGAGCGGGGCGATTCATTAATGTGATAAGTTATCGTCTTTCAATGGACTACACAATTATGTTGTCTAAAGTGATAAAAACAAGCACATAATAAGACAATCTGATGAAACTGCTCAGTTAAATCAAACGATTGTCTTGATCTGATAACTCTGTAATTGAGTATGTGCACAAAAACTAAGTCAGTGTATAGCTGGAAATCCTGTTCTTTTTTTTGTGATTATTCTATTTTTTACTTTTTTTAAATAAGCACACTCGCAAGGCATAAAACACCGAGTAGCACTACACAAAATAACAGAAAAAAAGACAAGGGATACATGATAAGAACAAATGCGAAGCTGACAGACAACAGCAATATTTCTTTTATATTCTATAACATTTATTTCAATTTACTTTCATAATCTTACTTGAAACTGTTATGTTCATTTTGCATTTAAATGCTTAATTCAACAAAAAAAAAAAAGATACCTTTCATTTGTCAAGTATTTAATTCCTATTGTGGAAGTTTTAGCAGCTCAGGGCTGCACAGTAGAAGTATCAGACCTGTACGCCATGAAGTTTAAAGCCACTGCTTCTGCTGAGGACATCACCGGATGTATAAAAAAATAGACTTTACCAAGTGGTTATTTCACATAGACCATTTATTGAACTAACAGAAAAGATGCTATATATTGAGATATATATTGTTATTCTGATATGAAATGAGCTATGTCACGATTTTGTCCATATCGCTCAGCCTTATCCTAAAGTCGTTGATCCTTACCGCTGTCTATTACCAACAGAATGGCTTGATGGTGGCTTGCTACAAAGGTTTCATGGACATTGTATATGGGCTTCACGGCTGTCCCTTTATGGACATAAACCACCAGGACAATGAAGGCAACACTGCTCTGATGATTGCATCCCAAGCAGGTAAGTGGTACCTACACAACAAACATTAGCAAAACAAAACAAAGGTCAAGTTCAGAGGATAAACCCATAAAGTACAACACAATTATGGTTTAATAAAACAGGAGCAAATATCATATACAGCAGGATGTGTCTTATATAGACTGAAAACTGTAAAACCTAAGTACTTTAATGTTATCTGAATGCATACAGTCCCAGCCAGCCAGGCTACACGTTTTCTGACGCACAGCTGATCTGATCTCTGAATTCTGTGTTTTTTATATGCAGGTCATGTCAACACAGTCATGTATCTCCTAAACTACTATCCCGGTATAGACACTGAAATAAAGGATTGTCGCGGTTTCACAGCACTCATCAAAGCTGCGATGACCGGCCGCAATGACGTCATGGCTGCCCTTCTTATGGCTGGTATGTGTGTCTGATGCTGCACTATGATATCATCGGGTCTTTTTTTGAAACCCCGACACTCGCTCAGTAACCAGCACTCTTACAGCTCTAAGTTAACAGTTGGTGAGAAAGCACAGGTGGTGAGAATAGCTGAGCCCACGGTTTATCGGTCCATATTTGAGACCAGCTAATTTTGTTTGCGAGTGAATTAAGGGATCATTCAGAGGACATTATCACATCTTAACACACCCTCAAGTAACCTCTTATTTACTAGTCTCGCAGGCTGGTTGTAGATTAGCCATACATAGAGCTATTTGTAGACTGCACATGTTTCCTAAAATCTCTGCAAGTCTTCAGCTATTGTTTAACATTGCAGTAGGGCCACAGATAATGATTCTTTTCTTCACTGATGAATCTACTTGGTTAATTTGCTTGGTTAATTGATTAATCTTTTTGTCGATGAAATGTTACAAGGTACTGGAAAAATGCTGTTCACAATTTCTCAGAGCCCAAGGAGATGTCTTCAATGTGCTTGTTTTGCCTACCAACGATGCTAAATATACTGATATATAAAGATAATATATAAATATAAAGATATGTTAAATATACTGTCATATATGATTCTTAAAAAAAACAGCTGAAACCAGAAAAATGACAATTTTTCAAAATATTTGCTGATTAATTTTGCTTCAGTTAACTAATGAATACATTGAATATTCGCTGCAGCTCTGCATTGCAGTAAGGGTCGGATGAAATTGCATCAGACAGTAAATTTAAGTTGATATAGCATGTTTTTGGTAACATTATTAATTTAGTTTATTGTAATGCCCTAACTGTTGCATCTCACCAAACTTAAGCTACCCACAGAAGATATTTTGAGATGTTACAGTGGGAAAAGCACAGGTGTCAATCGTACTATTAATGACGGCTGCATTCCAAAGCTGCTTTTCGCTGGTGTTGTTCATACCGGCTCACTGTCACATTGTCATGGCTTACTGTGACACTTGAATAGAACTGGGCCATTGTTTATGTTAAAGTTAAGACTACGCTCTTCCCACTATGACAAAGTCAAAATGTGTGCTGTGAAAAAGGCCGATACAGCGAGAACCATGCTGTATATTGTTTTGTTTAGGGCAGTATTTGTCCTTTTTTGTGGCAGAGATTTTGTAATATTATAACTGAAAACACACAGGTGTAAATCATCATTAATAATGGTTGCAATTGAATGTTTCAGATGCAGGGTTCTGGGGTCGTGCTAGTTGGCTCACTGGTATACTGGGACAGTAACTGTAAACTGGAATAGACCATTGTTAATGTGATTAACGATACCTGTGCTTTTTGTGCTTTGACAAGTTGAAATGTCAGCCACAAAAAAGGCTTATCGGCTCTCTGCAGATCTGAATAAAACCAAAAAGAAAAGAAGAATGAATTATTCAAAATTAACCACTGCCTTCCTCATTCCCTTGCTCAACCGTTTTTATTTCCAGGGGCTCACATACACGCAGTAGACTCCACAAGAGGAAAATGCGCTCAGGACTGGGCAGTGAAAACAGGTCGCCATGAGACCCTGTATCGTCTCCGCCGCCTTAATATGCGGCCAAAAGCTGAGCAGTGCTGTGAAAGTTATGTCCCTGATTGGCCTGAGCTCCAGGAGAGGGTAGCAAAGGCCACATCTGACAAAAGTGCCAGGGAAAAAATCACCCAGCGGATCAAAAACTCATTCGGATTCAGATTTCCTCGTGACCCCCAGGACAACGGGGCCTTGGACCACATGGTGCGCATTACTACCAGTGTCCACAGTCCCCTCATTTCAACTGGATGCCGTCCGCTCTGCCCTACAAGCCCTCCTGAGGTGGGGAAGAGGCGCATGGCTGTGCCAGAGCTGATGCAGAAACACCCAGCTAAGGACTTAGAAGAGCGCTCAGTGTGCCACAGCAACGGCTCAGTGTCACACATCATTCCCACAATCCAATCTGCGGAGCCCATCCCTATAATGTGCTGCGCCGATACGGAGCGGCGAGGCAGCATCCTCTCATTGGCTTCATCCAATGTTACAACCACATTTATTTCCCGCAGTATGGCGAGAAGGAACAGCGTGTTCCCCTCTGGCTGCATCCCCAAGATTGATGTTGTCAGACCTTCAGACGCAACGCCGAAGAAAGAAAAGAAGAAGAAGAAGAAGAAGAAGAATAAGAAGGGCTTCTTGGAACCACCGGTATGGAGGTACAAGGAGATCAAGGATGAGAAAAAGAAGGAGAAGAAGAAAGCCGAGAAAGAGAAAGAGAAAAAGAAAGAAAAAGAAAAAGAAAAAGACAACAAGAAAGTCAAAAATTAAGAGTTTAAAAAAGGGCTGTTCTGCTGTATGAACCATCCCTTTCGAAAATGATATGCTTTTAAAAAATGTGTCCAACTCTCAACTTTCAAACCAAATATCTTGGACATTTGCAGAAAATATAGAACCTTAACCTAAAAGGAAAATAGACAGGAGATATTTTTTATTCCTAAAACTGAATGACAGAGGACCTCAAACGAGTACTGCAGAGGGTTTGTAGCTTTAAGCCTCGAATGTCAAAAGGTTGAGGCAAATATTACGTGTATTTCGAGTTAGAGTCGGAAAAAAAACGAATTCAATGAATATATAAAAAATATATAAAATCGAAAACTGTTGTAGAAAACCTATATTTATGGATTCAGTTCCACAGGTGCTAAAGACAGTATGATGTCTACCTCATCATCATTAACAAAACACAGGCAGGAACATACTGTATGTACCTGCATCCATTAAGATGGAAACATATAGAAACATTGCCACATCATAGCTAATTTGTAATGTTATGAAATGTTGTTTCATGTGTTGTGTATTTTTGTAAATAGTTAGCCAAAATCACTTGTAAATATTGTACAGTGTGGAGCAAACGTGCATCACAATGGAGGATCTGTTTAATCCTCTATTCCAGTTATAAGGTTTATCATTTTCTGATATTGCCAACAATTTATTCATATATCTCCTGATTTTATTCACTGTGTGAGAAATTAAAAATAAAAATAGGAAAGTGAAAGTTTTGATTCAATCAATTCATTCATTCATTGGTGTTTAAAGCTGTAGTAATCAATATTTTCCTTTTAACAAACGATCAGATGACGATGTGTAATGTGGAAAGTGTTGCTCGTAGGGATGAACGCACAAGGAGATGCCACCAAACTAAGTCTATTTTACTTCATTGTCTTGGTTTTCCTCCCATCAACCTTGTTTCCAGCCGCAGCAGACAACTGTTTTCAGCAGAAAAGCAGGCAGACACAGTGAGCGATAAGCTGTTGAACATTTAACAGGTAAAGAGACGGATATTTTCCTCAGGGTGTTGTGTTGTTCCACCATATCTGCTTCATTCAAAAATAGGAAACTGTTTGTGAACAATTTGGTCATTAACTTTATTCGGTGAAAATCAAAGCCTGAATATAAAACGTGGTCAAAGTCCCCATGATATCACTCATTGGTTTGCGGACTGACGTTTTGAAGTCTTGAGTCCGGTATTTTGGCCGTCGCCATCTTGAATTTGAGTGACACGAGAGGGTGGAGCTAAGAACAACCAAACGTTGAAGACATTTTTAGGCAAATTCACTTTCATGAACTAAAAACACACTGTGAAAGGGTTTAAGTTCCACAACGAAAACACGGACAACTGCCAAACCAGACAACAACCAAAATGTATTAAATGAACATCGCACATAACCGTCAACTCATGTTTACTGAGTTAATATACCAAGTGAGAAGTAGGGTCAATTTCTCATAGACTTCTTTACAAACTGACTTCTTTCTGGAAAAAGAGGAGTCTCCCTCCGATGGCCATTAGAAATAATGCAAGTTTAAGGCACTTCCACATTGGCTTCACTTTTCAGAACTGGAGGTTGCTGTCTGGTGACAATGCCTCGATGTCAGTATTGTATTTTCAGCCTGTTCTGCTGCCCCTGAGAGGCCATTCAAAATCTATGCAGCTGTAATGTCCAAATGCCGAAGGCAGTTAAGACCAAAGACCATTGGCCTAACTGAAGACAGCAATCCCCGGTCATATATGTATATGAATATGTATGTGAAGAAATGTGACAAAAACATGTTTGCAGAATCTGTCTTTCCTCCATTCCTCTGAGACACTTGGGGAAGATCTTACAGCTGTGAGACCAGAATGACAAAGAAATGTAGCTAGGACCTGGTGTTGACTAATAGGCCATTTGTGAGTGACCTGAAATTATTCTGTCTCTCCGAGCTCCCTGACAGCCACATCCAGGACTACAGTACAGCCTCGTGATGTTGGCATTCAACCTATGGATGAAAGAAAGAAATAAAGAAAGACAGAAAGAATGAAAGAAACAAAGAAACAAAGATAGAATGAAAGAATGAAACAAAGATAGAATGAAACAAAGAAACAAAGATAGATAGAAACAAACAAACAAACAAAGATAGAAACAAAGATAGATAGAAACAAACAAACAAACAAAGATAGAAAAAAAGAAAGTGGGAAACAAACAAACAAACAAAGATAGAAAGAAATAAAGTCAGAAACAAACAAACAAACAAACAAAGATAGAAAGAAAGAAAGAAAGAATAACTGAATTACTCACTCTCTGGTCTCCAGCCTGTGTCAGTGCTGCCACCTGCTGGTGGGAGCGTGTATGTCACCTGTTCACTGACAGCCTGGTTAGCTGTCATTATCACGCCTCATCTGACGTTAGCTGATGTCTTAATGCGATGAACCGGGAATGTATTGATCATGGCTAACCTTCGGATTCCGTTCGCCGTCGTGGTGGTCCAGGTCGTCCTGTACAGAACCTGCGAGGGTGAGCGACTCATCGCCATCATCGAGGCGAGCGAATGTGGCATTATAGCTAGCTGCTAGCTAGCGTTAGCTAGGTTAGCTAGTCGACACATTTCATTGACACACAGACATGAAACCAGGCCAGCCTCCGTTTGTTTACACCTGCTGTGAATCTAAACAGCTGTCATGTAACCAAACACGACATCTCACCGTCTCGCTGTCGAGCTAGTGCATCGACGTATTCTAGCTTATTGTAGCAATGATTCTTTCATTTACGACACTATGATTGCTGTTGTTAGCTCTGTGTACATCCTTTACTGAATATTTTATTGTAATTTATGTCTGCATCACTGTGACGTTATCTCAAGACGTCTGACATGTTGCTGTTTAGATAATAATGCCATGTGGATGTCAAGATGTTAATACTATTACAGTAGATCAAACTACAGACATTAATGATCTCATGCCTCCAGGCACAGATATGGAGATAAAAAACCTCTTTACAGTTTTGGTATAAAGATGTTTAATCGGTTGGTAGATTATTACATTTGGTAGTGGGCAGCATCTTATTTATAATCCTTAATTTCTGAAGAGTCAGTGGAAACCGATTCATAGATTGTTTTAAAAAGCAGATGGTAAAAAAAATAGTTAATGACATTGATGCAAAAATCCAGTAAAGTCATGAAGAAGCTCGGGCTGCAACTGACAATTGTTTTCATTAGCATTTAAACTGGTGATTATCTTCTCAATAAATTGATTATTATTCCATAAATTGTTATAAAAATTAGAAAAATAGGTATTAAAATTGCTTTGTTCAACCAACAGTCTTAAAGCCCAAAGATAAAAGCACATTTTAGAAGCTGACATCGGGTAGCTTTGGTGTTTTTGCTTGAAGACTGATTGAAAGGATTCACTTTCTGTCCATCCCCTGATTGTTAAGTAGTTCAACAGAAACACATCTTGAGGAAAGATCTATTTAACGAGTAGTTGCTACAGTATAAATGTATATCATCTAGCTCATTTTCTTCGAGGTAAACATACTCCCTTTTGACTATTTACTTTGTATCACAATTGAACTGCAGTCATCAGTATCTTGCCAGTATTTCTTCTCTGAGGTGTTTTTAAAACAATCAGCCAAACGTGGATTACAGATGTGTGACATTTAGAAACCCCAGAAACATTGCCGTGGAAAGTCTGAAATGTCAGTCTCGTTTCATATTTAGTCGGCATTCATCTTCTTTATTTCCTCGCTGGTTGTTTCGTTTCTCGCTTTTAACCACCAGCATCTGCCAAGTAGGTGTTGAATGATTCAGCACCACAGAAGAACACAATATTTCCCTCGTTTGACTTAGATAAGACTGAAATTCAGCTGCATGTATGTGGATCTTCCAACAACACAGGTTCTTTAGCGAGGTCGTTTTCTACTGGGAATCCACGAGAGGCTTTTCCGGAATTACTGGAATGTCACATCATGTCTGTGTCTTAATGATATTATTCAATTTCACGGAGGAAGTCTCAGTCTCTCTTTTTTGCCAAATTTCAGTCTAAGCGGGTCATTTAATCTCTACTCCTACATGTCCTCACACAAACTCTCTCCACCCATCCTCCCAAAGCTCCTGCCAGCCTAACACACCCCAACACTTCCTCTGCTTCCTGACCTCACCAGCACCACCCTCCAACTCTCTGTCCTTACTTCTACTTCATCTTTGCAACACATCACTCATCAGAAAACATTCCTTTAGTGCGTGAAATATTTAAGAGACTCTTGAGATTGAGACTCACGAGAGAGATTTTGTTTTCCAACCTGCTGCAAATCAAACGGATTATATAACCATCATCCTCAGCAATCAAAAAGAGAGACGCCACACGCTAAAGGAATCAGAATAGGAGTTCAACAGTGACAAAGTATTGTTAGTTATTGTCCTTTTTGGGCTTCATGTGAGGATATGTTGCACGATGTCTATAAATCCATAATTATAATGTTATATATACGGTCACTGTTGGCTGTTATTGTCCTCTACTGCACATCACGTGTACTCTAAGTTCTAGAAACATAAAGTACTTTGCTCATACATTTGACTGTTTTTGTAAAGTCCAGTCATTTTAACCACGCAAACTATTCGGTTTGCAGCTCTGCGGTGTAACTGCACCACTGCCCAGTGTGAGAAGACCAGCCTCCAGTGTGAGACCGATGGAGCCTGCATGGCCTCCACCTCCTTCATCGATGGCCAAGAGCAGCACATCCGTGTCTGCATCACACGGGACAAACTCGAGCCCCCCGGACAACCATTCTACTGCCTCAGTGCGGAGGGCTTTCTCAACATCCACTGCTGCTACACGGACTACTGCAACAGCATTGACCTCAAAGTACCATCAGGTGAGCACTGTCAGGTGTCACACAGCATGTGCATTTACATTTGGTGCTCCTGTCACCAAAGTGTCTGACCATCAAGGTTCAGAACACACATGTAGGTCAATCATTCGACTTGGAGCAAATACATAATACAAACAAGTGTCTTTACCTGCAGTACCACACATCTAACACACTGAGTGCACAAACCTCAGGCGTGAACATGTATCTCTTTCCGACACAGTTTTATGACTCAGGGTTCCTGAGAAGTGTCCTACGGGCTTTTGTACAGTTCCTGTGGAGAGAAGAGAAACAACTATTTGAAACTATTGTGACAGTATTCATCCCCAGCATGCAGATAACACGCAAGTTCATATGATTTTAAATTATACATAAAGCACTTTAAAATACTATCAACAAGAGGATTCTCTTCAGAACTGTGCTACAATGTATGAAAGATGGGTGTAGAAGACTACAAAGTGTGCCCTTTGATACTATGCATGTTAGGATATCTTGGATTGATTGTAGTACCAGAAGGTGATGTGAGAACTTCAAGGACCCTGAAAGTCATTCATTTTTCTGAATCAATTGTGGAGATGAGGAGAAACTCGAGCATCACAGAGAATGGTCGAGAGAGAGAATAAGAAGGAACAAGTAGGCTTTTACACTGTTAGTATGCTGCTAATGGAATTTAAACACTTCTTTTTACAGTAAAAGCCTTTCAGTGTAGAGAATTGAGCATTTCTTTCTTAAATAATTGGGAATAATCAATAGAAGTTGCAAGAGTCAAATGTTGACTCTGTTTTCCAATTGTCTGCTTAGTCAAATGCTTTATACTGTCATCCCGCTAAGCCCTCTAAAGCAGTTCATATCAGGGAGCAGCGTCTGTCTTATGTGTGTTCTGTGTGCCAGATGTTTCATTTTAATTTTCCACTGTTATCTTTTCAATCAGGTCTCAGGGAAGGATACGGCCCAGCTGGGACATGGGGGCTGGTGGAGCTAGTGGCTGTGATTGCAGGGCCGCTGTTCCTGTTGTGTCTGCTGCTGCTGATGGGTACATTCCTGTATCAGTACCACCAGAGGGCCTACAGCCACAGGCAAAGGTTAGAGGTGGAGGACCCCTCCGGGGACCACGTCTACATGACCAAAGACAGGACGCTGCAGGACCTCATATACGATCTCTCCACGTCTGGCTCAGGCTCCGGTCAGTGCACGACGTGTTAAAGTAGCTGCAGGCCAGCACTCGTGTTGCAGTTTACAGTTTTTGTTTTTTTTTCAGAAAAGCGCTGATGACTGTTCTCATCCTTTGTAAGCAGGGCTGCCTTTGTTTGTCCAGCGGACCGTCGCCAGAACAATTGTCCTTCAGGAGATCATTGGCAAAGGGCGTTTCGGGGAGGTGTGGCGAGGACGTTGGAGGGGCGGTGATGTGGCCGTGAAGATCTTCTCATCCAGAGAGGAGCGCTCCTGGTTCCGTGAGGCTGAAATCTATCAGACCATCATGCTCCGCCATGAAAACATCCTGGGCTTCATAGCTGCTGACAACAAAGGTGCAAAACAGGGGTCGGCATATTTGTGTGTCGTGAAATGAAGAATCATTCTCACATAAACATTTAAACTCTCTTTATTTCTGTCTGCGGCCCAGACAATGGCACGTGGACCCAGCTGTGGTTGGTGTCGGACTACCATGAGCACGGCTCTCTGTTTGACTACCTGAATCGCTACTCCGTCACCATTGAAGGAATGATCAAACTGGCTCTGTCGGCTGCCAGCGGTCTGGCACATCTGCACATGGAGATTCTAGGAACACAAGGTGACAGCAACACGTTTCCCCGCTCATCGTGCTCGTTCCCCTCTCAAACCCGATCCTTATGTTTCCTCTCCTCTCGTGTTAACGACTGACCTTTTAATTGATGATATGTCACAGTAACACTGTAGAACTTGATTGATTACATGTTACCCACAGAAATAAGATTATAACAATGTAGATAATTTGCTGTTAATTCATGAATAGAAAACAAATGTTCTTGAAGACGTTGTTTTGATTTTTTTTTAATCAACCAAACTGTTGCCAAAAAAAAGAAGGAAAATTGCATAACTTGTTGTAGTTTTGAGTTGTTAAAAAACAAATCTAGAGTGTCTAACATGTACATTTTTATTTTGGTAGGAAAGCCGGGCATTGCCCACAGAGACCTGAAGTCCAAGAACATCCTCGTGAAGAAGAACTGCACCTGCGCCATCGCTGACCTGGGCTTGGCCGTCCGTCACGACTCCGCCACAGACACCATCGACATTGCGCCCAATCAGAGGGTGGGCACCAAGAGGTCCGTGTCAACACACACACACACACACATACACACACACACACACACACACACACACACACACCTGCAGCTGCTCACCGTCCTTTCTCACAGATATCCTTCACACCTTTCCCAGAAAATCCTTTTATCCCTGCACATGATTACAAAGAGGGGTTGTTTTTACAGGTACATGGCTCCGGAGGTTCTGGACGAGACTATCAATATGAGACACTTTGACTCATTCAAATGTGCTGACATCTATGCTTTGGGGCTGGTCTACTGGGAGATTACTCGCCGCTGTAATAGTGGAGGTCAGACTCTTTTGTTTTTACTCTGGATACTCAACCTGTGTTGTTTGATTTTTTTTTTTAGTTATTGATGTTAACAACTGAGATCACAGCACTGATCTGAGCCCAACATTGTCCTGTGTTATCAGGTGTCCATGAAGAGTACCAGCTGCCCTACTATGACCTGGTACCTTCTGATCCTTCCATAGAGGAGATGAGGAAGCTGGTGTGTGACCAAAAGTTACGACCCAACATCCCTAATTGGTGGCAGAGCTATGAGGTATAGAAATGATCTTTTAAAGCACAAATGTCACCGTTTAAGATCGCCGGTTACAGCAGAAGTTTATTACGCCATCAGGTTAGTTGCTGAGATCTAGGAACGCTGTGGAATCAGGCTAAGCTGTTCGCTTATTTACAACTAGAGCAAGATATATCTGCCGATATTACTAGATTCAGTGGCGCATATAGACGCTAAGAAAGTGGAGCACATACTGTACATGCCAAATGTATGTTTGATGTGATCTAGTTTCTCCATCAGAGAGCATTGACTCGTTTATGTCTCAGTCACAATTCTTTCAACAAATAATTGAAGGATTCCAAATATAAAATGTTTTATTTACTTGCATATGTAAAAAAGAAAATGTATATTTTTTTGTTTGTTTTCTCACAAAAAACAAAAGTCCGGTATTGGTTGGGCGATGTTTACGGCCTGTTAGCTGGTTTATGTTTCCTTCCCAATCTCATTTACCAGATCTCAGCAGTGACTTAAGTGAGTTACTGCAGGAAATGACGGCAACAACTACAAAAATAAAACCAATGATGCAGTTAACCAAGCCTCGAACACTACTTAACTTCTTGAACTACGTTTGTATCATCATAATCATTTACACTGTACTGTTGGCTCTTGATCCTTGTATGCTTTTCTTTTACTCTGCTGTTCCAGGCCTTGCGGGTTATGGGCAAAATCATGAGGGAGTGTTGGTACGCTAATGGCGCCGCCCGCTTGACGGCCCTGCGCATTAAGAAGACCCTCTCCCAGCTCAGCGTCGAAGAGGACATTAAAGTCTGAGCCGAGTCAGCACCGAGCGGGACCAGACTCCAGAGCGTATGACGGTGAGAAGAAGGGGCCGGGCCCTCTGCAAAGAACGCACAAAGTAAGAGAACGTGATGGAGATTCGCACTTTGTAAAATATTACTCCATTGACACTCCTGCCAGTTTTGAAGCCACTTGATTTCTGACGAACCCTACCTCGCTTACCCAGCCAAACTACCAAGAACACCTTTCCTGTCTTGTCCTCAGCTACTGCTGCCCTTCTGGTTCCTCTCGACACTCCGCACTAACAAAGGATCTTTGGATTCCCTGTGTACTTGTATGCAATCGATAGCAGGATATGTAATTAACCATTTAACATTTTGAAAAGCAGCTGCTGATATTTCCTCAAGGTCTCTTTGATCACAGTTGCTTGATAGTTAACAAATAGCATTTGCTGTTTTTGTCTTTTGAAAGGGGGGGCAAGCTGGGAGGAGTATTTTTAACTTATATCTTCTTATTTAATAACTAGATCTTGTTATTAATATATGGGTGTTTGTGAGAATATTGTGCAGGTTTCTCTTTGCCACCTACAGCATTCAGGCACATTACAAACTGCTCAGAAGTCCAATAGTCCATCTGGTTCTGCTACAGCTGTGTTGTCTAGTCGTCTGATGATTACTATGTAAGCATGTACAAAGCAGCTGAGACCGTTTGTGTAACTGCAGCCCATTTACTTTACAACAAGGTGTTCAAGGACTTCTAAGTCACCGGAGCTTTAGGGCAACTTGCCAAACATGGTTTAGCCTTTTGCACCACTTGCTCGGAGCCCTTCCCATAAGCTGTTGTAAACCTCAGGTTCTCCTTATGCTTTCCAATCAGCCCTTTCTTTTTGTCTCAATACACATATAGGATCTGTTAAGCAAAATGCATTTCACTGGGATGGAGGGGATACACGTAGAGCAACAGCTGCCATGGAGTCGATGCTGTATGTTTTGTCTTTGATCTTCTTACGAAAACGCATGAACAGAATGTGTAGAATATTTAGATGATAGGATTCCAATCTGAATGCAGCCGCCGTCACTCGATCAACCCGCAGACCGTAACCTGCCATGAGAATAAACGTTGCTGCCGGCCCTCAGATAAGCTGATAAGCGCGACATTCATGTGAACATTTTGCCCTTCGCAGCAGCCAATCGTATTTACACTGTACTTTAATACGGGACAATTGTTTTTCATTTTTAATCCCTTTTTAAATACACTAACTCCAGGAATCTGAATAATAGTTTGTTTTTATGTCCAATGTTCTTTTCCCCTCAGGCAAGTATAACTACTGCACATATACAAGCTGTTTAAGGTGATACTTGTGTACATTTGATTTTATGTTGATTCTTATGTCATGGTATAGATGGTTGAATCTTTTATATCAGCTTTTTGGTTGGTTGTGAACAGGTGTACCGACCTACTTTTTGACCTCGACATCGTGCCGATGTTGACTTCCTCCTTTAGCCCTCGTACTACGGCAGAGCAGTCTTTGATTTTTAATCAATGTTTCCCCTCACTTGTTTGTTCACCATACAATACCTCCTCAATGTGCAACATATATGTGGATTGTTTCCGTCGAGCTAATCACCGTCTACGTTTTCAGGAAAGAGGTGCACTTTTGTCATTACCTGTATGCAGATTCAACAGGTACTGTCTGTGTGTGTGTGTAGTCTTTCCCGTGTTATTTATGTGTGTGTATGCTGTGAGTCCCATGTGCACTACTACTGACCTCACAGCATTAAAACCAAATTGTTCTCAGAATCATCTCTGGTCGTGGCCTCCAGTGTTTAGTTAAGATCACACCACTGAAAAATGACTGTTTATACAAATCATGCCAACCAGTTGCAGTACACTCCATCCAACTGGAACCTGGAAAGAGAATCTGACTTTTGAGAGAAGAAATGTTGAAACTAAATACTACTGAAATGTCTCAATGCTGTCTCACAAATGCTTGACCAATACTTTACTTTAAAATCACTTGCTGACTACATTGTATTGTTCAAAGCTTGCTTGAAAGACTGGAGAGCTCTACTGTTTGATAGGCGGTCGATCATATTCGTACACTAAAGAGGTATGTTTGTTAAATTGTATCTGCCTTACAATGTTTAAAATGCATAGAGTATTTAAGGTTGCAATACCTTGCTCCACGTACCCCCCATGGAAGAATAGGAGGATGTGAGTCAAAGACATGATTTATTATTCTCCCAGGTCTCTGTCTAGTTATGGCAAAGAGACAACTGCGTCCATGTAAAAAACCTTCAGGATGTCAATCATGTAACTTCTGAGTAATAAATGCAATTGTTTTCCTATGTGGTGTCTATTTATTTTACTTTTTATCGTGGCCAACCCCAACTTTGTATTCAAAAAACCTGTTAATGTTAGTTTAAATCACTTTCTCGTCAACCAGTTACATCGCTATACATTAAACAATAATGCCGTTTAAAATAAACTCAGAAACTTTATTGCTCATCCTTTCAATCATATCAATCCAGATAACTACAAAATCTGTGCATTTACATACAGCTGTACACCTTCCATTGTAAATATACCAAAACAGGAAGTTTAACATGTCCACGGCCCATCCTCTAAGGATATGGAAAGGAAATGCTGGTATTGAGTGACTTTGATTGAGTCCCTTAAACACAATGAACAGACAACTTCTGAATAAATGCACTTGATGTTCATCACTGATATCACACACCAAGAAGGTAGAAATCAGAAAACAAGCAATTGTTTTCAAATGGACCACTTTTCCAGAAACTGATGAGATCTTGCAGCATTGAATAAGCAATTTCCTTTAACGCCAATACAAAACAGCCAGAAAAATAGTAAAATGTGCATTAAACGTTAGTTATACTTGACAACACAGACGAAACGGTAAAACATAAAACCCATAAATATCCAGAGGTTGTGCCTTTAGACAGGACGCAGCACAACGGTGAGCTAACAGCAGATCCATCGATGCCGTTCTGCTCTTCCAGGTTCGCTACCTTTTTGTCAGATTAAACGGTGACTGCAGTAACTTGATTGTTTGGTTTTTTTACTGGCTTAAATTATAATTATTTCTTTTGAAGCAATAAGTCCTGTCTTATTAAAAACATTTAGTGAGACCATGATCTGGCATTTTTATTTGAAATCTAAACTGACCAGAGCAGACTTTTTGCCATCTTTAATATCTAGTGTTAGAATTTGTCTAGATCATATTTATAATATACATTAATTTATAGTAGCATGTAGATAGTTTTTGTATGCATGTACTGTATATGTACATTATGTATGACATACAGATAAATAACTCTGGAACCTTATGACCATGAATTTCTTCTTTGCAGATTGGTAGTTGAGAATAGAAATGATGAAGAAATCAATCCCCCGCCTGCATTCAAATAATCAAACTAGCTGGAAGCCGGAACACGTCATACTATATATATGTACAAAGAACGAGTCAGAACAACGACTCACACCATCAGACAAAGTTACACTGTTTAAAATGACTCACACAGGCTTTGTGTGCATCTAGATTTCAGCCTCGTTAAAATAATGAAATGCTGCCAACAGAAGGCAACACAGGTAAATCAGTTTTCCTGTATCTTGTTACCGATTACAATTTACACTAATGGGGAAAACACTTGTGATCAAGCCGTGATCAATGGTCCTCTACTGTACATGAATCAACCAGCACAGAGGTGGGAATGATGCCTGGTCATCCTGAGAGGCTGCCACTCCTCTTCAGAGGTCTGTTGGCTCTGCCTCCTGTAGCTTGGAACTCAATTTGCAAGAGCTTCTGTATGTCTGTGCTACTACAATTTTATATTGCTGATTAATAAAGCTTCACATGTCTGCAGGGAGGGAAGTCTTCATGTGTGAATATAGGAAGTCTGATTACAGGAGAGGGGTGAGGATACTTCAATGTACTGTCAAAATGACCCTCTTACATGCCTGTTCTTTCTCCCTTTGCAGTCATCTTTAAACTGTGGAGCCGTTCCTCATCAGGGTCACTTCCTCAAGCTGTGCCTATGGACAGAAAAATCAAATCGCTTAGTTTAACATGAAAATATTTAGAAAAATGTCTGAATGATTACACTTCAATACTACTTTAATACTTCCTGTATTTATAAGCTATTGTTGCTAATTAAAATCTTACGACAGTTACACGATTGTACTAACCCTCTTCTCCATCAGTCAACACGAGTGCCTGGAGAATATCTGAAAGGGAGACAATTCCCTTCACCACATCCTGCTCGTCCACCACCACCAGCCTGTGCACCTGAAGGAAACACCGGAGGACCATTTAAGTTACTTTTACCTCCGTAAAATAGTGCTGTTGTTTCTATGGCAAGAAGAACGCATAGAGTAACTGATAAGGATAAAACATTGTTTATCAAAAGACTCTTGTTCATTTCAAACTGGACAGCGATAACCAAAATCAACAGGGGGCAAACCACAAGAGACGGCTACTTGGTGACGCATAACGACGTCCAGCTCTCACCTCGGCGTCCACCAGTCTGTTGATGATGGCCTCCAGAGTCTCGTGCCTGTGGCAGGTCAGCACTCCTTCAAAGTACTGCGAGCGGTGCTGCAGCGCTTTGGTCACCGTCAGATCCAGGTTGTTATACGTCTTCTCTGCTGCCAGGTTCTGTATAAACACAGGCCTTACGGTAAAAAAATGTTTCCTCATCTTAAATGGCATAACAGGCTGAGTGATATGAAGGAATCCTTTACCCCAATATTGATATTTATGGTGACGCAGTAGATATATTAGGCTAAATAAAAGAGATGTAGGTAAAACAATCACATAATATCCGTTTTAGGCAGATCCAGTGAATTAAAACCTAACAAGTTGAGATAATTACATTGAAGCAAAAATATGGTCAATTTGAATTTCCCATAAAACATGCGTTTTGCTCGTTGACTCGTCAACACTACCCATAATTACTTTGCTAGAAAACATTTTAAAAAGGTTTATCGTCTCTTGCTATAAATGTTGTCATATTACTGTAATCTCAATATTAGAGCAGCAATGGTTTCTTCATTAATTGATAAAACAGAAAATCAACTATTAAGTATTTTGATAATAGATTAATCATTTTCAAGCTAAATATATTTGCTGTCTAAAACTTCTAAAATGTGATGCTTTTCTTTGTCACATCTGATCGTGAACTGTATATTTTGGGGTTTTGGACTGTTGGTTAAATAAAGCATCCTGGGCATCTTCCACTTTGTGCTAATAACACCAAAAATGTGAAAGACGGATAACAACTTACTATGACATCAAATTTTGAGTATATATCCACCACTCGACCTACAAGAGAGGCAGCACATCAGTACACAAACAAACGAAATTCAAGAGGTCTCTGATCATTAATGCAAAATCAACAAGGGTGTAATTTGAACCCGCCCACGTACCTTTGTCATCAACAACGGGGAGTGCTGACACTCGCTGCTCAACAAACATACCCAGCGCCGTGTACAGCGGTGTGTCTGTGCGGACCACTGCTATGTTCTGGAAAGTTCCGATGTTCAGGTCTTCTATGGTTTCTCTCAAGAACGAGGGTTTTGGCATCTCGGATATCTGAGAACAATAACAAGAGATTGTGCAAACAACACTTTGTTAAAACTGTAGTGGAATGGATGTCTTTGTAAAAAAAGAGTTTCAGAATTTCCCATTTTGCTTAACTGCAGCTAGTTGTCTTTAATCTGTACTAGACGTCTGCCGTGTTACTATTAGACTCAAACACTGAAAATAATTAAAAGTATTCAATGTAGGAGTAGCACTGGGACTTACAAAAAGCTTCAGGAACTTGAGGATCCTCTTGTGTGTGAGAATATAGAGCGTGTTCCCCGTCAGAGGGTCGATTACAGGCAGTCTGTGGATCTTATTCTTCAGCAGAGACGCTACTGCATCATACAAACTGTGACACACAGAATGTCCGAGAGGACCAAGTTAATCACGTTATTTTGGACACAGCATGTTGTGAGGTAAGAATAAAACAAGTGAACGGTAAAATAACGAAGATATAGTTACTTAGTAATGTTAGCTTGTACGATAAATATTATGGTAGAAACAAAATCTCTGTATTTAGACAACAAAAGGTTTGGATCTGAAGTTTGACACCAACAACAAAATGCAGAAGTCTGGAAGTACTCTATTCAAACCAAGCATTAATCTAAAAAAAACTACTTACCTAGCATTGGGAGATATGCTGACCAAGGGCTTAAAAGAGTCTTGAAGGTACAACTCTATTATAAACAAAGACAGAGAATAATGTCAAGACCTTCAAGATTACAAGAGTCAATGAAAAGAAGTACGTTACATATTAATACAACTTGTTCACCTCTCCATGTTTCAATTTTGTGTTCTTCCAATTCGTATATCTGTACCTGAAAGATAACAAAGAGAAAAAGTGTTGACACATTTTGGAAGAACTTAAGAAAGAAAACAAGCTCTTGATACAAATAGGAAACTTGCAAGGACACATTCAGCAACATGTGATGTTAAAATCCTAACTATGACAATACAAAAATCCGTAAATTCAACTTTCAGATTTAAATGTTACACTTCATCTTACCAATGGAGATTTGTAGTAGCGATGTAGAATATTAATAAAGTCTGTGATGGTCAGCATACCTGCGGAGATGCATGACGAGAATCAAGTCAGTCCTCCATTTATTTCGTCTTACACAGAGTGAAAGTGTGCCAAATGAAAACGGCCCTCACCAACAAAACACTGCTTCTTGCTGTCCCACAGAGGCGCTGCCCTTACCCCATTAGAGACGAGAGCAAAGAACGCCTTCTTGACCTGTGAAATGAATCACACCAAAGTTTCAGTCTAAAGTAGCTACTGAGAGATAGATCTCGTTGTTTTTTTTTTGTTTCAAAGCTTTTGTTTTACCTGAAGTGAGGTATCAAACACAACCAGTTTGGAGCTGGTAGGTATGAGGTCATAACACCCGTGGGACTTCATAAACCTGGTGTACACATTGTGCTCTGGGTCTGAAGCAATGACAGAGATTATTTCATGAATTGATCGCTGTTTTGAAATAGCACTATTTCTGAGATTTATATAAGTTCTTACCCTCTACGACTGGGTCCTTCTTGCCCTCAAGATCATCAACAATCACTGGAATCTTGAAATGTAATAAAAGGTCATTAAAATTTAGATTGTCTGGTCAACAAGGCAAAGGTTGTTATTCAAAAGCCTGCATAACAAGTCTAAATAATCCATAGTTTAGCAAATGATTCCAGCAGGGTTTTGGGCAGAGGCACTGATAATTTAAAATGTGCATGATCAGCAGTTAGGAACAACCTTTGACATTGTTTCGTTAATGTGCAATTTAGTTATAATGCTCACGGTTAGGATAATGGTCTTTACTAGCAACTGATCAACTGCATTACCAGGATATCGGACACACATAGCACGCATTAATTGCACACGCGTATACTGCAGTCAACAAGCTAAACAAGGAATAAAAGCTTTTCAAAACATGTCTTTAGTTGTAAAGCTGTAGCTATTATAAATATATAAATATTAATATAATTTAATGATTCCTGGTTGGGAAAAACCAACACAGGATGTCGACGCTGTTTAAGTTACGTGCACATTGGACAACGTCATTTTTAACCAAATAACATATTAACTTTAGCAAAGCATTAGCAACACGCTAGCTAGCGTCACTGTCTACCGACTGTCTGTTGACCTAACGTCACCGTGGTGAGGTTTTAACGTTATGTGACACACCGTCTGGACGAATTAGTGGACACCGAAACCGGGGCTGAGACCAGTTAGACAGGTTAGAATATGTGGCTTCTTGACGGTTGACAGCCGTTACTAAGAAGTGAGCTAGCCTCAGAACTACTTTGCCAATAATTAGCTTAGCTAGTTAGCTGCTATCCTTAGCATGCTCCGGGAAGTTATGTTAGTTAACTTAACTCAGGTGGAGAGGGTTTGTTAGAAAGCTAATTATCTGTACATGATTAAGTCAGCTAGATAACTTACACACTCCATGTTTCATTCGCTGTGTTGCCTTTCTGTAGCCGGGTCCGTTGACAGTTGGCAGGTAGGATCTTGCCAAAACCACACAGGTCTTCCGCTACTCCTCGCAATGAGCAACTTGAATGGCTGATTAGTCGTTCTTCTTCGTCTTTGGTTTTAGCGGCAGCTTGCACCCTAAGCGTTGCACTACCGCCATCTTCTGGAGTTAGTTAACTCTCTTAAAGAAGCTGACCAAGCATCTTCTGCCTTGTCCACTATTATGTTCTTTACTCCTGCTCCTGTTATCCCTAGTCTTCTCCTTTCTTCCAACATGTCCTTTCTCTGTGATTCATATCTCCTGCAACTAACCAGCACATCATGCTCTACAGTTTCTGGCACCTGACAATGATCACAGAAACCGGTTGGATGTTTCCCTATAATGTGAAGTGAACTGTTAAGAGATATATTACCCCTGAGTTCCGCACACCTTATCTCCATTTGTTCCGAATTCCATTGTCATGCGGCTTCTCTCACCCATTGTTGCGATTTACTCTTTCATTATATTTGACACAGTGCTTATAGGCTACGTGTCCAGCATTTCCAGATATATTACAATACGCACATACTTGTGAATTTACTTTTAATTTAAAAATAAACATTAGATCTTCACTGACTGACTGATAGTTTATAAACTTAAAGGAACTACTGCAGAATTAAAACCTGCCACCCTGTCTGGTGTCACTTCTTCCATACTGAAAACAAACAATCGCTGCCATCATCTTAGCTGTACAGACTGATCATTTGTGGTTCTATTCTGTAAATTAATTTGAAATTGTGTGATATAAACTCACATTCCTCCATGATCATTTTGAGCCATCAGTAAATGTCTGTAAGCAATAATAAAATGATTCCTCATCTGGTTTGCACCACAATTTAATGTCCGAAGTAGACCATAAAGTAAACCCTTATTATGATGCTGTGTGTCTATATTTCTTCACAGTAATAATGTGTTGAATTCCAATGGGAAGTTATCGTAGTACATCAGCCTATGCAGCAATATACTGTGGGTGACCTTGCTTTTTAGCTACCTAAATAACAGACAAAATCAGCACATCAAATGAGTAACAGATTTATTTATATACAAAACTGTTTACAGCAAGATTTCTGAATTTAACATCGACCCACAAGGGCATATTGGTGTTCAGGTGCACACCACCACCATGGTATCAAGTCAACAGAAGGAGAAAAATAACCATTAAGAGCACATTGAGCCCTAAAGGGAAGCAGATGAGGGAGTTTGAGGAAATGTAAGGCACCAGACACAGCATCACCAGCTTCTGTTCAACCATCATCAATCAATCAACTACTTACTCAGCAAAGCATGTGATAAAAAGGTTACTACCCACTACAGGTACAACATGAGGATTATGAGGGGGAACCCACATTGCGTCTTTGTAAGGCTACAGGATCTAAGGAAAACAAGTCATTAAGGATCTCAAGCTTGTGACAGTGATCATGCAAATCCACAATATGAATTAAATGGACTGCATGCCTTCCTGGCTTGGTTCTGTCAAGCCTGCATAAACCATCACATCAAAGCCATGAGCTCAAAGACGACTAATGTAACTCTGTAGCCTCCAGCCACTTAAATGGTTTTGGGCAGTGTTTAAATGTAATTTAAAAATTGCAACTCAACAATGTTCATAATTGTTACACATTTTTAAGAATTTACTCAGGAAACTGGAGAGCAAACCTGCACCACGCAAAATATAACCAATAGTATCAAACCATTTCCCAAGGTTCTATTTTTATTGTATAAAAAAAGGCCATCAGTGGTAAATATCAAAGATCTATTTCAATCTATACTAAATTTCTCTGAGGGTTGTCCATAAGATAACATCTTTATTACAGTCAATAAGGAGAAGTTTAACCATAGAAACAAGGATTAGTCTAATCTGCTTAGCAGAACAGCTTAAAATGTGAGTCATTAAGATTTACAAATAGATTCCTACATCGTGAAGACGCAGTTCAGAAGTTCATTGGCGAAAAGGTACCTGAAGAGGAGTTGATAAAAAAAAAAAAGACAGTGAGAAGAACCGTCAAACCAGTGAAACTTCTTGTGTGAAATCTCATTTCAGGGTGTTAAAAAGGAAATCCACCATTTGTGAGAGAAACCGACATTTTAACACCACGTTTAAAGCAATGTGAACTTTGACTCTCCATCACTGTTGAAATAATACCAGTCCTTAATAAAGTTAACCAGCCCTACATGTACAATAACTCAGCTACTCAAAAGAGTTATGTAGTTATTAATGCATGTTCACAAAAAAGAAGAAGATGTAATTAATTGGGACCAATGTGTTTGGCAATATTATTATGTTTTCTGAGCAGTTGGTTGAAAAGTCCAGATTTTGCCAAAATATAGATAACGTTTCGATATTTAAAGAAAGTGTTCACCGACTGTTATTCTTTGTCTAAAACAAAGATGAATGTTGCTCTTAGAAACGTCTGGCCGTAGGTTACAATTAGTGGGATAGTTTATCAACTGTCACCTTGCTATGTAAATCAATAAGATATCACATTTGAGCAGAAAAGTTCCACTGCGGTGTCTTGGGTGTCGGTGAGATCACGATTGGCAAGCTGGTGACGTTGTGGCTCCTGTCTTCAGCAAATGAGCTTTTCCGATGTCCTGGGACAGACTTCTTTACATCACAGCGCACTTCTTCTCCTCTGGGGGACCATTCCCATCAGCTTTCTCCATCTCCAAAATGATCCGCTTGAAAACCTCCACAGCAGTCTGCATTTCAAGAATATTGTCATCAGAGTGTGAATGTGTGTCAGAATGAATATTGTTGGTATATAGTTGGTATTCAAAGAGACCTCCGGCATTACCTCGTTCTCCTTGGCGGAGGACTCCATGAACGCAGCGCCCCAGGAATCAGCAAGAATCTTTCCCTCGTCTGGCTTGATAACTCTGGAAAAAAAATGGAACCGAAAGTTCACTTACAGAAAACACCTTTCGTGTTATATTTGGCTACACAGGCAATGGATTGTTGGTTCGGACATAAAGTGGTTTATACTCTAAAAACTTTCAATAGTCTTGATTACCTTTCCATGTGGAGATCTTTTTTGTTCCCAACAAGAACAGTTGGGACCCTAAAAATAATAATGAAGAAATAGTTACAAAAACACTTGTCGCACAACAGAAAAGAGAGAATTTTGGAAGCATTGAATTTTGAGGATTCAACTAAACTTACTGAATCTTTCCGACCATGTCTAGCAGCTTGTCATGTAGATTCTGCACAACTTCAAAACTGAACAAAGACAGACACTGCGGTGAGAAGAGTAGTCGGTGTGTAAGTCTAGCCTGTATGTTACTTACTAACACTTTGGAATATTTTGTTTAAGCAGTGGGCAAACAGGCACACAATGAAGTTGAATACAACTCCAAAACTACAACAAATGGAACATTATAAACGTATTTATCTGGCAATTATATGCAATTAGAAATTACACTGCTGGCATATGTAAACAACAGCAGGCCTAACCCTTGTAAATCTTTGTAGTTTGTATTATGAAGTCTGTAAGTTAAACCACAATGCTGGCATCAATTTTAAAACACATATAATGTTGCCTCCCTAATATAGTGTATTAAGACTTTAACAGCGTGTGCCTCATTATTCATACAGATGTGAAAACACAACCACCCACTTACCTTTTATTGGAAGTCACTGAATAGACAAGGACATAACCATGGATGTCCATTGAGTGGGATTGGTGAAAAATGGAGTACTCATCCTACAGACAGAGGGGAGATATCTTATTGGGTATGACTATTACCAAACACAACATTAAATGGAGTCATACATACAAGACTATAGCCTCTAGAATAAACACTTTCAATTAAAATAGACAACTTGTCAATCTGACATCAGAGTACACTCCATTATTCCAGCCTAAGACAGCACAGTTACAGCTAAGCAGATAACGCTGGCTTGTCACATTAACTGTCTGACAAACGCTAAATTGGGTTTTGCTTAACGCTAACTAAACAAACCAAGGATTTATCCTAAGGTTAAATATTAGGGTTTAACAGATCAGTTCAGATTAGATCAAGTGTTGATTTAAAACTAAGCGTTTAGTGCACGTGTCAGATATGATGGTACTAAATGAACAACTTACTTGTCCAGCTGTATCAACCAGTTGAAGATTGAAGTCTTGACCATTCACGTTGACCAGTTTGTTAAAGGCTGAGGACAGGGATGAACTAGTTTTAGGAAACATTTCTTTACATCAAGCGAAAAGCTGTGCGACTTTGTTTTGGCTGTAACATCTTTATAAACAATCTAATCCAACATACTGTTTTCGATGGTGGGGTCATAGGAGTCAACAAACTGTCCTTCCACAAACTGTATCGTAAGAGATGACTTTCCTGTGCAGGGCAAAGAAACAGAACAGGGTTGTTGAACTACAATTTTGTAATACTTGTTCTTTATAACAATCCTCTAGGTAACACTGGTAACACAAGGTAAAGGCATCATCAAAGATGTGGCCGCTGTAGTATTTAGACACAATGTGATAGCTATGATTATGATCTACTGAAATATGTGAGCTTCCAAATTCTGTGACGCCAGAGGATCAACTATGTGATACAATCAGAGAACATACAATTGTGTGAATCTGAACGGCAGTACAGATACATGTAATACAGCTAACACATAATCTGATCGCTCATATAATTTAAGTTCATAACGAGTGGTATTAACTTCGAATGAGGTCGAATATGGTTGCACATATATATCACACTTCCTTAAACTCTGTACTTTTGTTTAAACATGTTAGACTACTAGTTTCGACAAGCACCATTTGGCTCCACAACAGGACGTCAGCGCTAAATGCGTTTACCCAGTACACGTTACAACTAACTCAACGTTAGTAACAGGAGACTTTAGCTTCACAACAACATAGTTGGTTTACGTGTAAGTTAGTAATCGACTGCTCGTCAAACACACGTAGCACAAAGACACACGAACAAGGGCAAAACAGCGTTACTGGTGTAAATGTGAGAGAGCGAAGAGGAAAACAAAGCCAGGACGTTAGCTGTTAGCATGCTAGCTGACTCACATTAGCTGTGCACGAGCTCGTGTTTACTCACCGACTGATCTGTAACCTATAACGGCAATCTTTCGATGTTTCGGTTGAGGCATTCTGGTAAATGTTGTCTTCAAGATGTTTTACACTATTTAAAGTACGCCACCTACTTTTACTCTGTAAGCAAACTTTTATCGCCACATTCGTCTCACATCACGTGACAACAACAAACTTTTCAGAGCTGCCCCGCTCGAGCTCTCTGCTGGGCCTCGCGCTGGAAGTTTAAGAGTTTAAGTACAACTTGTACTTATCTAAAAAAATTAAAAAAATGTATCTTCCTGTATCTGATATCGTAATCGATATCGATCGGCAGTTTGAAATTATGAAATTGACGTTCAAATTGAAAAAAGAAAATAAAACGCTCGCTCAACGCGGTTACGATTTGCAAGTCAAAGTGACGGAAACTGTCATGCTGTGTTGTGTAAGCACACCGTCGTAAAACCCGGGGATACGTCATAACTGACACGGACGTGCGTTCTGGACCATGTGTACAGCAGAGGTCACTCTTTGCTCGTGCCAGCTTGTTTCTGTCGGACTGTTCCAGAGCGACCTTCAGGCCACAATCACCAGGGTCCTTCATATCAACAAGTCTGGGTTTCCATTGATTCAGTAGACAACAGTATGGAAGAGGGAAGTTTAGGTAAATGTAATGTGATTAAAAATAATCCACACAGATATTCAGTCACAGCGTCATCTGAACAGATTTTGATCCCAGAAAACCCATCTGAGAAGATGCTGTTAGGATTAGTGTGTAAGAAGTTAAATAACTTAATGGCCCAATCCCAATGTCCCCCCTTACGGACTCACGGACTTTGAGGCGCGCTCCCGCGAAGTCCGTGAGGGTTTAGGGATGGCCCAATCCCAATGTCCCCCCTAAACCCTCAAACCCTGAACCCTCAAGGACTTACTGACGTCACCTGGTAAGTGGGTGAGTGTGAGAGACTGTGAGGGCTTGAAATGGTGTGAATAGGAACGGGACAGCACTTTGCTGCAACATATCACGTTACCATGAAAACGAAAAAAAATATGATGTATAATTGTGTGTATTTATTTTATACTTTGTACTTCCTGATTTGAACATCTTCAGGCTCTTTTCTCACAAGATGAGAGGTAATTCATATAATCTATTTACTCGTTTTTGTCAAAACAGCTTCAATGGCAAAATCAAATATTTGATGAATAAATAAATAAATATCTTCTGATTTCATGTTTATTTTTTGTCCCATCTTTAACCCTTGATGTTTCTGAGTAAATTTAATATGAGAGGCTGAACACACGTGAGCAGTCCTCTTTGTTTACCTTTTTTTTTTACGTCTCCATGCATCCACTGGTTACCTCGTGTTTAATGTCACATTGCAATGATTTGTGGGTAATTGCCTTAGTCAGCATACCATGCTGATTTATGGAAAGGGTTCATAAAGGGCTCAAAATGTCTGCAAGAGAGCCTCAAACACTCGATGATTTGACAGTAGGACATCCCTAAACCCTCACGGACTTCGCGGGAGCGCGCCTCAAAGTCCGTGAGTCCGTAAGGGGGGACATTGGGATTTGGCCTCACATTCAACCACTAACCAGGTGACGTCAGTAAGTCCTTGAGGGTTCAGGGTTTGAGGCTTTAGGGGGGGACATTGGGATTGGGCCAATGTCTTCTGTATACTGTCCTTATCTGACCTGCCATCTACCCGGAAGACAAATACTACCAAATACGCATATATTGTATATCTGTTTACGTCATTCTATTTTCCTATTGCGCCAACATGTATTAAAGGAAATGGGATTTAAATCTCTTTTGGTGATAAAAGTGAAAGAGCAAGAGGAGCATGCTTATTTGTGAACACAATTTCTTAAAAGTACCATGGCTTAGTATATTGTGTTAGTTCTCGACTTGGAACCATGTGAAATGGAGTTTTCTTAGCCAACTCAAGTAATTAAATAAGACCAAAGAAAAAAAATGTATTCGTAATATACATTCACCTACCTCTTGTTTATGAAATCAAGAGTACTTGGTTTAAGTCATTAAATGCTTTTAAGTCCACCCATACACTCCACTTGACCCTCTGAATATATATATATATATATATATATATATATATATATATATCTAGTGACCTCTTGGAACACATATAATGTGATGGATGTCTTAAACAGGCAACAGTGAGCGTAAATGTATCTTAACTATTGTATTGACTTGTGATGTGTTTTTTTTAAGTCTGTGTTGAAGGCACCACCAGCATGCAGAGACCAGCAACATCCCTGCTGCCACTTACATTTTCAGACTGTTAAACATTTGCTGATTAAGGAGCTTCAATAGTCTGGGAGTATTGATCAAAACACCACAGACTATTGAACACTGTTGAGTAGCAAAAGATGTGTTGACTTATTCTTTAACTGGATATTTCCAGACTTATCTAATATTTTGCAAATCTTCAAGCAAAGTTCTTGCACGACTGGCTTTTGTTAAGACATAATGAAACTGATGGTCTTCATAAGTTTGACTCATTCAGCACAAATAAGGGAGGTTCTGTTGAAAGATATATATATATATATAACTTTGGTAGGCTTTTTTGGGACCGAAACTGAGGTATTGTATTGCCATTGATATCAAAACATTTCAATGATACCAAGCACTACTTTTGACTCAACACTACATTAAACAAAGTCAAAGATGGGACAGATAACGATGGCTGTTGAGTTCCTCTTGATGCACTATAAAGACTCTTTGGTCATTTTACTAAAAACTTGTGAACTGTCACCAGAAACCAATGTTGTCTACTGCAGCTTTAAGAACAGCTGTCTTCATTAAAACACAGCTCAGTCATAATTTATTCTATTGTGTGTGTATGTGTAACGTTACATGTTGAATAAAAGTTCACAAATGTTAGATTTGATGCAGATTGGTGGCTCGTGCAGCGTTAATACCACTCACTGCTTGTGGTTAACCGGAACTTGTTTGGAGCTGGAGGTGAACGCTGCCGAGAGATGCTGCCGTCATAAACAGGCAGATGAAAACACAGAATAACCTAACTGACAGGGACAGGTAAAGCAACAGTAAAAGAGAGAACCGGACAACTTTAAAAGCACTTTTATATATATATAATTGACTGTCTCTGTTGAGTTGTAACCGTCCGCGTGAGTGCCTCAGGGCTTCAGCGAGAGCACAAGCTAGCTAGCTAACAACTAGCTGGCTAGCCATAGCATTGGGGAGGGGGTGGGTGCCATAGCAACCGTTTAGGAAACATTGAGTGGTGGCTAGCTAGCTAGCACAATTCAGGCTAACGTTGGTTTGTTGTGCTAGCAAATAAACAAGACCTCGTAGAGACTTAGATGTCCAATGTAGCGTCAGGCAGCCAATTGATGTCACAAGTCAGCGTTGTTTACTTTGCGCCATTGCCCATATTACTGAGCTGTAACTTTGCGCCATGCTTTTTAGTTGACGCTAGCTGTCGAGGATGGCAGACTGGTTGCAGTGTTGAGTTTAGCTAACTTGGCTAACGGTGATTTCTATCACATGCAGGAAGCTAACGTTAGCCATGGAGGCCGACCTGTAAACTTAGGTTACCTCAACGCCACCGTTATGTAAACGTCAAAGTAAACAAGCTTTCTTTTGGACTGATTAGTCTCACGATGAGCCTGACGCTAGATTAGGTTTAACATCAAGTTACTTTATCAATGTTTTCATGGGTCAACCTCACGTTAAAGGTAATTAGTCAATCAGCTGATCGGTGGTTCGAGCTGGTGCACTTAGCTTGTAGTTAACGCCTAAATATGTTCTGGACTGATTAATTAACTCAGCTAACACTAATCTTCAACACATGTATTGTTCGCGTTATGAGCAAGTGTTACAGTTAAATATGGTTGCAGTTCATAATGTATGATAGTTGACTGACATTCGCATGACTTTTTTGGGTAATTTAATTTAATTTAATTTAATTGTTTGATGTCATAACATTGTCGTATTCTTATCGTGAACCCCTCTGAATTATGCCTTAAGCAATACCAATTTAACTTGACGTGCACCAGGGGTTTTCATTTCATAATGTGGTGTTCAATTGGACCTCTACCTGTAACTATTGTATGTTTTCCTGTTGTTATGGGGGTTATGGGAGTGGTTGACGTGATGTTTTGTTATTTTTGGGTGAATGGGTTAGAGAGATAATTCAGTTAAATCGTAACATCTTACATAACTGTCATTTCAGTATTCAGCTTGAACTAGTATGGATGTTGACTGCAATGGCCGGTCTTACATATCAGGTAGGAATTGTTTTTTTATCACAGATATACTTACCTTCATTAGTTGGCATGTTGTTCAAATGACATCCTGCTTTTGTTTACTTTTTGGTTGCAGCTAGTGGAGATTCGTCAATGGAAAGAGAGTTTTCTGGGGCCCTTGGAGGGCCAACAGTGAGCACCCCAAACAGCAAGGAGACCTCCCCTTGTCGCTCCCTCAGTGGTCAGTGAAAGAATAAGTGTGAATCCCACAAAACAAACGATGTGATGGTTCATCAAATCCCAAAACCTTAATTATTCCTCAAATCACTTCTGTTTTAGCTCCCAATGAATAATCTTACTGTGATATGTCAAATGTTGTGCAAAGATAGACAGATATTTGTATAATTCATATATTATTCAGATTTCACTTTATACATCTAATATCAATTTGAGGCATTCCTACTGTTGATAAATGACATGCAATCTGATTTAGGGCCTTCTTTATCTTTGCTCCTGTGTGTCTGTAGCCAACTCCATTAAAGTGGAGCTGTACAGTGATGAAGACCCCGGTCGCAGTACTGAAGATGAAAGAGGGGAGCGGGTAGAGGATGGAGGTCCAGAGCAGGGATCCGAGGTTGTCAGAGTCTACAGGGAGCTCACCAATCCTGAAACCATGCAAGCTGGAGCCACCAGACTGCCCAATGGAAAGCTCAAGTGTGACATCTGTGGAATGATCTGCATTGGGCCTAATGTTCTCATGGTGCACAAACGCAGCCATACAGGTGACTGATCAGTTGACACAAGAACTGAACAGCATGTTGGTTGTGCAGAGTTGAACCCCCTGGCCATTAATCAAGACTGAGTCGCAGAAAAAAAAGCTGCTCTGATGATGGATAATATTTTGAATGCCTTGAATTTGAGTGAAAGAACAACACCATACGAGGCCAAATTAAGCAGACACTGTAGATCAATCAAACAAGTTAGGTTAACAGGTTTTATCTATCCTCAGGTGAGCGACCATTCCAGTGTAATCAGTGTGGCGCCTCCTTCACTCAAAAGGGTAACCTGCTCCGCCACATCAAGCTGCACTCGGGGGAGAAGCCCTTTAAATGTCCCTTTTGCAGCTACGCCTGTCGAAGACGAGATGCGCTCACTGGCCACATTCGCACTCATGCAGGTAGGACGTATTCAAAGCCTAATAATTGATTTGTTTTCTTATGATAGTGTAAAATAATGTGACAATACTAATGCCATCTTCCCACTTGTCCCCAGTGTCCTCTCCAACTGTAGGGAAGCCATATAAGTGCAGTTATTGTGGCCGTAGTTACAAGCAGCAGAACGCCCTGGAGGAGCACCGTGAGCGCTGCCACAGCTATTTACAGAGCCTGGAGTCGCATCAGCCCTCCTGTGTACAGAATCCAGGTACGGTTTCATGACATTCACGGAGATGACACGTCAGAAGAACATTTTCTCAGATAAGACAGTAACCGAAAAATTATAAAATGGTGTAGTGAATATCAGTCTCCAAAGGGATTGTAGAGGCATCTAGTGTAGAAATATAGTCTACATCCGTAACACGGTAATGTACACAACTCCTCACTTAGATTCTCTTCTGTCCAAATGTTGAAAAGCAGCATACAACTTAAACATTTGGGATAAATGCTGTCTGGGTAATAGGAAAACCCCCAAAATAACATTACAATTTGTTTGTACTCTGCAGGAGAGGAGATGAGAGAGCTCGAGTTTATACCAGACTCTTTACTGCAATCCTCCTCAGACAAGATGGCATTTATCGATCGGCTCGCCAACAGCATCACCAAACGCAAGAGATCCACACCACAAAAATTTGTAGGTGAGCAATTGGTCTCAGTGTGGACAAGTAGAGGAAACTGAAAGCAGATTTAATTGGTTGAATTGGATACCACATACAATAGTACTGACCTCAGGCTTCTACAGATTTATTTATCTAAGCTGTGATTGGCCGTAGATTCAAACCAAATGTCCAAGTGAATGAGGAACTTTCCTTTATTGATTGCAGTTACACAAAGCTGCTGCAGAAGAACAGTGAAAACAAGACAAACAGTATAATTAGACAGTTAACAGTGATACAACTTATTGTACACAAAAGTACCGTAATTCAAATGCTTTTTCATTGTATTGACTCCAGTCCAGGAGGAACACGTTTTGTCCAGTAATATAAATACAATACTTCCATTTTGGATGGAAATTAAATGAAAACTAGATTTTAAGTTCATCTCGTTCAACTCGTTCATCATAACCTCCAATCTAACGTTGGCATCCAGAATGAATCCAAATAACTTTGCTGGCTGTTAATTTACCCGGGCAGTTTGCCTGTCCATATAATTTCTTTCTCCCCAGACGTCCGTAGTACAGTATCATAAGATTGTGTTTCTTTATTGCAGGACAGAAGCACATACATCTCAACCTTGCAGATGCACCTTATGAGCTCAGCGCTGGTTTGGATAAAGACGGGGAGATGCCCGAAGGTGACCTGGAAACCCCACATTTCACTGGTCTGGGAGGAGAATACACCGGCGTGGCAGGAAATGGAGGAGGAGGGGTATCGGACACACTGAGGCCTCTACACCTTCCCACCACTCACCCGTCATCTTTATCAGAACTCAGGCCGGTCCACAGCTCCATTCACATTTCTGCCGCTCTAGGCCCGAGGATGGATTGCTCAGGGACTGGAGCTGTGCTGGGAGGTGTCGGGGGGAGGGAGGCAGCAGAGGGTCATGAAGATCTGCCCGCGAGCCGAAGTCACGCACCCTCACCCAGCAACGGCTGCCAGGACTCTACGGATACAGAGAGCATGCCAGACGAGCCTTGCAACAGCACAGCTCTGACTCTGACCCTGCACAGTAACAACGGCCACCATCTTCAACTCTCCAACAACCATCATGCGGCACCTCCTCCCGTTGCACACCACAGGAGTTGGAGCAGACACAGCCCCAGCCACGCCAAAGACACGGAGGTGAAGAGAGAAGATGGAGGCCACTCTGCCCTACGGCCCCCTGGCGTTGCACCAACTCCCAGCTCGCCTACAGCGGCCCCCTCCAACTCTAGGGAGTCGCTTCGGGTTGTAGACGGGGAGGGGCGAGCCGTGCACTCTTACCGTTGCGAGCACTGTCGTGTGCTTTTTCTGGACCATGTCATGTTTACCATCCACATGGGCTGCCACGGCTTTCGCCAGCCTTTTGAGTGCAACATCTGTGGCCACCGCAGCCACGACCGCTATGAATTTTCTTCACACATTGTCCGTGGTGAGCACATCCTTGACTGAGGATGAAGCGCGGGGGGGGGGGGGTCAACCTGCTTAAGCTAGAGCTATTCATACACTGAGACAAGGACCCGGCTGGGTTTGGTCTGCACACTAAAGAAGACACTGATGACATGAAAGAGATATGAATATTTTAAACTGGCACAGTAAGCATGTAACGGCATTACTGGCAAGCTCATGTGTGTGTTTTCTGAAATTACAATAGAGGTCCTTGTTATCTTTAATGCACTTTAAACAATTAATCAATTTAAGATGCACTTTTAATTCAATGTGTTATAAAGTAGATGAAGAGCCAATGCACTTTTTTTAATCCGCAGATGTGCCTTGCTCCAAAATTCAGGATTCAAACCTGATGCACAAATTACAGTCGACAAATCTGACTTTTGTCTGTAACCTGAAAACTGTCCTTACTTGTGCACTTTAACAGAGATAACACAGAAAAGACAATAATTTGAAGTTTATAGGCTTACGTACAATGGAATCTGTATTTTAATGACTTGTTCTAAAAGCACTTACTCAACGAAATGATTCCCCAACAAATGCTACGTTCAGCAAAGTTATTTTCCAATGTGGGTTGGATTCTGTAATCGATTGCTTTTTATAATTCTTATAGTGCAGACCAAACTCAAAGACCAGGTCCAAGTCCAACCGATGTGTTTGAGGGGTTGTTCGGGATTTAGAAATGCACTTTTGTTTTTAAAGGTGGCGGGGTGGATAGATCTGAGTGTGTGTGTGTGTGTGTGTGAGAGAGAGAGAGAGAGAGAGAGGGAGAGAGAGAGAGAGAGAGAAAAGGGGAGCATGTGACAGACCCTTTGTTTTATGGAAGTAAATTGAATAAGTGGAAAATGAATGCCTTTGTGTGAATGCCATGTATGAAATGTTTGTTTTTCTTTTCTATGACTGCTTTTGTTGCACTGATCCCTGACAGATTATATTAAACTATTTTATTGAATACATTAATGACCTGAACATATCTCTTAAAGTGTGAGAAGAACTGATGGAATGAAAAGGAATACGAGTATCACTGCCACAACTTCAGAGATTACTGGAGAGTTAAGAGTCTTTACAAGTCAATTCATATTCTCCATTTCGTAACTACATCAAACCGGAAACCAACGCTACTGTTTCTTCTTAAATGATTCTGGTGTTCTCTCATTGTATTGTGCCTTTCCTCACCATGATCACACCTTGTTGACCACACTGAAGGACATGACCGTCGTATCTTGAGTCAGATCATCGTGAGAGATGTTAGAGATCATGAGTTACAAAATAACTCACTTACTCAAGTTGTTTTTTTAGGCTCAGTCTCTGGCTTCTAGCTTTGCACAATATTTCCATTCTGCTATTCCTCAACAGTTAAGTTTAATCAATGTGTTGGCAAAGAACTTATTCTGCTAATTTATCAAAGATGTGCGTGGCGTTTGGCGCATGCTGCTATGACATGAGTGCAGTGTGGAGTGGCGGTTTACTGCCGTCCTCACAGGTTGAATCCCCCAAAAATATATTTTATTTGAATTTACTTGGAGCACATGGTGTGTATTTCCAAATGGGTTTTGTTGGTTGTGGTCTTTAATATATCCTGTTGTGGTAATATGGTGCAGAAATGAAATGTAATAACATGGTCAGCTTTTGATTCTGTCTTTACCCGTTTACATGTCAAAACAATAGACGTCGTCGTTGTAGAAACTTTCGTTTATATTGGACTTTGAGCACATTAAGTTGTACTTCTAAACAGGCAAATTTGTTATCTCTAGGTTACAGAATTGTGTATAAAAATCAATCCCTAATTTGTATTGATGAACAGGACAGTTGTAGATGATGAAGTTTGCATCCACTGACGTCCTAAAGGCTATAGTCATCAGCTGACTTGAGCCCTTTAACATTTGGGACAAGAGTTTCTAAGAGTTTATCATAACTGGCAATTTGTAGCATCAAGACATGTTGCTTTTCAGAGGAAACCAACTGAACCAGCTTTAAATGGATATTTACGGTCATGGTTCCGTTATAAACTGAACTCAGCCCTGTATAGAGTCGCACATTTTTAAGTTGTGGTCGAAATGCACAGAAGCTCTGAAATGCATTTATTTAGAGGAATACATTTTTAGATCGTGAGTGTGGTTCGGTATAGCACCAAATAATGGTTCCCCCATGGCTGAACCAAAGAACCACTACTCTCTACTGTTGAGCACTTTTCCCCTCTTACAGTGGCAGAATAAAATAAAAATAGTTAAACATATTTGTACATAAAGTATGAATTAGGAAGAAGCTGCAATGTAATATTTTGTCTCTTTTCATCGTCTGAGTAAAACCGTGTAGATGTTGTCTTTTTCAGGAGTTATCTCCACTTAGTTTTGCAGAAAATTCAAAAAGGTCAAATTAAATATTTTTAATTTCTTTAACTCAACTGACTTGTTTTAAGAATTGATACAAGTTCTAAAGTTAAGCTGCTTTTGTTTTTAATGATGGTTAGAAAGCTGACTTTGGTGCACATCACTGTATTGAGTTAAGAGTGTCGATGCATTGTGGCTATTTTCTCACCAGTACATCAACGCTCTTAAAAAGTGGATTATATTCTCTTCCAAAGTCGTTTCATTTAATGATGAAATGATCTTGCCTTAATATAGAGACTGTTAAATCATCTCGGGACAGAAGATTGAGATGTAGTTTCCTGCAACCTGATCTATAAAACATTGACGTGTGACTTTAAATGATTCATTATTAACAAATCAAATTGTCATGTCTGTTTGCATGGGGAGAAAATGCTTTGACCCATTACATCTTACTTCACTTTGTATATTGTGATGTAGGCAACAGCTTGTATGGACACAATAACCCAGGTGTGATTATTCTTCTGTTGGGACTTCTTTATAGTAGACTTTACTATTGTGCCTTTGGCCAGAGGTCTTTTCTGCATTTCCTTTTGTCAACAGTTAAAATAGTCACATTTGAAGTGTAAAGCGTAACTCGTCAGTTGTTACTGCACATTTTAAACGGCTCCACATTATTATAGTGTAAATACCACAAATCAATGACCGTGGCCAGAACCATGTTCATTTTCACAACCATTGACTATCAGAAGACTTAAATTATTTTGGTGACGTAGACTGCCAGGAGCCAAAGACCTAGATATATGTAAAACTGTTTACCCGACTCCAGCTATTTTGACAAATACTGTACAAAAATTGTTAATGCTAATCCTCTGCAGAATTTATATTTTTTTAATTTCAAGTTGTTTTTATTCACATGTGCAACACCTTAACAGTAATGTGCTTCTAAGCCTGATGCATGTGCTACCGATGCTGTTCGCTCAAACACCCGCAGCCACCTTCCCTTTTAGATACAAGGACAACCAAATAAACTTAATTTCAATACTATCATTCAGAAAAGAAATTCTACTTTTGTGGTATTTTGTGTTCAAATGTTTTTCTTGTTGCACCATTTGTTCCCTTCAACTTCACCATCTTTGTTAACCTTCCCATCCTGTAAATGGTCCGATATCGCTTTAAATAACTGCAGAGCTTTTTTTAAATGTATCATAATGTAATTATGCATTTGCATAGTTCGACCTTAAACTACTGTAAGTTTTGTACTGTAAGAAAGTCTATTCCAAATAAAATACTTGACAGGCCTGTCTTTCCTAACACTACACAAGCGATGGTTCGTCGAGAACAATGAGCTTCACACATTCAAGTTTTTTTGCAAAGACTTTGGAATTTATTCTTCAGATGTACAGCATCTTCAAATTCTGCTTTACATGGGCTTAGGAGGGGCTCTTGGTGCACCAGCCTGTAAAAAAATAAAGGAAAAAAAATAATTAAAATTGACATCCGACATAGACCCTTCTCACTGTGGACAATGTGACATGTAAATCACAGGTGTAGTAATAACTTAAATGGTTGCATTGCATTCAGGTGTGCCAGTTCCGACAATACTTCCTGACACACCTGAAGGTGACAAAACCATTATTAATGTTATTAGTTTCACTTGTGCTTCTTCTGCTGTGACTAGTCAAAGACTAGGACTTTGTAGAGCTTCACTAAACAGATCTGACAGTAAACACACAGTATACAGTAGAAGGTACTCACAGCGGGCCTGAACCTGGGTGGTGGGGTGCGGTCTTTCCTGGCCTCACAAGAGCGGTTCCTCACCACCTTACTGTGGATGGCACAGCTGACACAGTAGTGCAGCTTCACATAGAGTTTGGGTAGAACATAAGCTGCGGAGGGAAAATAAGAGAGGTTTAAATGAGGACACGCCACCAGGGTGAAGCTACAAAGACAACGTATTAAAAGTCTGACAGCAGAAACAAATACTTACAGTCGAAGACACTGGCCTCTGAGATGTCTCTCACGGCCGCCGCCTCCACGATGTTCCTGATGACAAACTTCTTGATAGCCTTGTCCTTGGGCACACAGCGGGCGCAGTTGGTGCAGCGGATGGGCTGCACATGGCCACGGCCCTTCTTGGCACGACCGTTATTCCTCCTTTTCTTGGTCTGTGAAAGAAACGCCACAGTTAGAAAGAATTAAAAACTACAGCCAGACAACTTGGGCTGGGTACTGAACCTCAATGTTGTCTTTGGTACATAAGAAAGTGTACGCAGCATTGGGTATCAAACACTTGTGTAGTGAAAACTAGTGTTTAAGCCATTTAGACACATCTTGTATTTATATGACAGTTATTTGATTAAAAAAAGAAAAGAAAAAAAAGAAAAGTGAAACATGCCTCCTGAAGGTACATTGATGATTAGATATCTTACAAAGAATATATCTCATACTAGTTTTTTTATTTAAAATACCCAACCCTAGAAACTACCCTTCCGGATCACTTAATTGTTGCACAGTATTGCACGTTCTCCACAGGCTTTAGAAAAGGAAAACAAAAATATAAACCCTCTCACTTCAGTAGTTCAATTCGCCATGCTAATAAAAAACTGCTTCATCGGTTTGGTGGAGTGACTACTACCCATTAACTTCTGTATCTTAAATACATTAACGTTAGCTCATCGGATGCATGTGATGGCTGCGGGGACTCGAGCTGGCTGCCATTACACATTATTATTACACCCGTAATACTAAAATCTACATCATTTAAAGCTTTACATTTCAGTCAACTGGCGGATTAGTGTACATCATCGTAATGTATTGAATCCACACGGCTTCGCTGTTTTTCTCCTTACATTAACATTACCCTTCGATGATTCTCAGGAACACATGCACAAAAACGGTTAGCATGCTAACAGCTAGCATTAGGCCCAGACTTCATTTTTAATATACTTGAGTGGCATCGAAGCCTTATGCCCCACATTGTGGTTTAGTTATGTGATTAAAATACCGCATAAGAGCGAAGCATGTGTGATTATTCAGGTAAAACGAGAGGTTATTCTGTTTTTCCGACACGACAGCCACCGAAACACACTCACCATGTTGCACGGGAAGCTGGAAAGAGGACCGGAAGAGGTTGCACTTCGAGAAGTAGTGCCATCCGCTCCGCCCTCCAAATATTTTTTTCAGAAATATAAGCTCGTCGATGTCCTTAATTTTTTTTTATTATATACAACATTATGCGTATTAATTATCGGTTCAAACAATACTAAATTACACTTGTGTTCTTCAGGGAAATGGCACTAATACCATTCTATTCGCGGAGGGATATCAGGGAGGTCAAGGTTTCATACCAGCGTCACCCGAGTGAGCGGAGTGCTATATTACTGCAATCATTGTAGTCACAGAGGCGGTGCAGCCGAGCAGCGCCGTACAATAATACAAGCCCACCTATGTTCCTCAGCTCTGCACATACACTCGACAGTATTGATAAAAGTGTATTCAAATATAATAAATATCGTCTGGCAAATCAATACATTTTAAAAGGAAAGGTGAAATTCAGTAATCCATTTGTGACTGAAATAAACTTACTGTGTTTTATTGGCGTCGTATTTTTTTACCTTTAAGTGAAAATGGCAGATGGTTTATTTCCATCCATGGTTTGCTTACAATAGTAGGAATTGGTGACCAGATATTTACGTGCAGCTGAATTATTGCACATTATTTGAAGTTTACATTACAGTTTTCCAAAACATCTTGGGTGGTCTGAGAATGTGCTTTTCTTATTGTTGAAAGTGAGTTTAACTTTGTAGAAATTTAGTCTCCACAGAAGTCTGCACTACATTTACACACAAGAATAACTAATGTAACTTTGAGGAAAAATAAAAAGACATAATCTTGTCTATCCACTGCTGTGGATAACCTAACTAATCAAGCTTTAAGATTTCAAGATGGTCATATGGGAATAAAAGGCTGCCTAGAAGACATGCCTTCAAAATTGTTGAAAAAATATTAACATTAAAAGCTATAGTCCTTTAAATATATTTTTGATTTGACAGTTACAGTTCAGCTTCAGGTCAAACAGTGGGGCAGCGCTGTGTAGATGCGGAGTGTCTCTGAGAGGTTCTTGTGTGTGCAGTTCCCTGTCTCTTTAACTATAAACTACAAATACTCGATGGCACTATATCAGAAAGTTGAATCTATTTGGAGGATGTAACTTCAAACATCTCTACAAAATGGACAGTAAAGTTCATGGGCACTCATGATGACATCATAGTAGGGGGATTTTTAGCCGGAGAGTTTTCATTTAATCAGTTTGACTACAGATTTTTATAGACTGTATATATATAGACCTTATAGACCTCATTCTTCTCCTTGTCTGGACTTTCGAGGAGACGCACTGTGGATGCAGACGTGGGTCATCAGGTTCTAAAGGCTCTGTGGAGTTGCAATAAAGCCACGAGAGTTCATCAAATTGCTTTAATACAAATACAAAAGGAAAAGCTGCAGATAAGCAGATGTAATATTTTAGTTACTATACAGCTTCATTTATTCAGTTAATTTTAAAGTGTGTGCCCATCTTCTCCAAAGAAAATCTCTTAGCAATACGTCACCTTTTTTGGTAATGAGTCATGTTTCTTTATAAGGCTATTACTCGATGGTGCTCTGCCATTTACCTGCTAATAAAGGAGCAGGTCTGTGCACAGGCTGCTATTTAATACATTCACAATAAAAAAACACAGACAAATGTCAGTGAAGCATTCTGCAGGCTGTGAAAGTGTTCTTGCACTTTAACCAAATGTCCTACTGTTAGGTATTTGAGTATGCGGTTCTGTAGAAAAGGCAAAACTGTTTCTTAAATTGAACTTGTAACATTGTCATTTTAATCTCTCTGCTTCTATGAGTTGATTTATTTTTTGTAATTGTGGCTCAGGAGGTAGAGCCGGGGTTGGCGGTTTGATCCCCAGTTCCTCCCGTCTGCATGTTGAAATGCCGTCCTTGAGAGGCATATTCTACTTAAAACCATGTATTTTCGAAACACATTGATTGAAATTGCAGATGTTGATACACATATTAAAAGCCTGTATTAATATTAAATAAACATGAAAACAACCCAAATAAAATTTTAAAAATTTATTTAAATAATTCTGTGCCGCATCCTTATTTCTTCTTGATCTTCTTATCCTTTGCCTTCTTTTTGCCTGGCTTCTCGGCGTTGGCTTTTTTGTAGAGGTAAAGTCCCACCAAGCCGAGCAGAGTGGGCACCAGAGCCAAACACACGAGGGGGAATACGTCGTTGACCATTTTCTGCCACGACGTCTGCTGTGTCAGAGAAACCACCTCCACCTCAAACTCAAGGGCAGCATCACCTAGAACAAGTTCATGTTCAATGTTTTGTCACATCAGCTGTTGATCGGGATTCTCCTTTAATTTTTCACCCATCTACATCATGCACATGTAATAAATGAGGACATGAAATACAAAATAAAATAGATATCAAATAACATCTACAAAAGAAAAATCAGTTAACTTATATCTAACAGAACTGTATATTCTACAGTTGTCTTGTTGTCAACCAAAACCATATTTAATTACTTAAACTAACAAATATTGTCTTATTCTTTTGTGCCATGTACACATTTAAAACAGCCGCACTGGGTGACCCGTTCCTTCATTATGATAAACACTGTAGTTTATTTTGAATCATTCCCACATGCAGCATCTTGGCATACTCACCAGCGTGTATATCAATACGCAGCTGAAAATAGTCCCATACAAATGCACTATTTACTCCAGTTTAAAAAGTGTTTGCTAAAATGTTTGAGTCATGCTGTTTTAGAAAATGACGGACCCTTTTAAAAAAATGAAGCTAACCTCAGACTATCACCTCGTTGGTTTTGGTCTTTTCATGAGATTTGTTGACAGTAATAAAACTTTAGAATAACAGCAGCTGTATGCTTAAAGAATTGTTTAGTGATATTGTGCTGATGTATGTGATCACAGTTGTGTAGAGTTGCTCAGTAAAGTGCAAACACCGATCTTCAGAATGTACAGAACTGGGACTTCCTGCAAATAGATACTGTACTATTGAAACAGAGTTCATTGCGTTCAACACCAATTCGATTTCTGTATGAGATTTAGTTCAGTACCTGGAATCGTAGGAGGGTAACCTTTTTTTCCATATGCAAGGTGAGATGGGATAGTGGCTTTGATTTTTTGCCTGAATGATAGAAAGAGAAATAAAAAACACATTTCTTGAGGAAGTATTTCTCGTATTACACTACAAAACAATAGTGATTGAATTGGTTCATGACTGCATGCAGCTGTTGGAAAGATAATCTATTGCTACGCTCTTTCTTCCAGGTGGTCCTTTAATTTTCACTTACCCTTCACACACGCCAACCAAGCTTTGTTCCAGACCTGATAAGAAAGTCACGCAGAGAAAGTCAATCAGCAAAGCCAGCACATTCCTCCGCCGGCACACAACCGGCTGCAGTTATCTCTCAGATGTAAGCAAATCAAAGTGTCACTAATTAAGCAACACAAAAGGATTTACTGTTCATTTACCGGCAATAACAGTCCTCTTCCCCAGCTCGACCACAAGAGGATCCAGGGATAGTGATGAGTCGATCACCTTTCCATCCATCAGTTTACCCTGTAGATGGTGACATGAAAGAAAGATACTAAGAGAGATTTCATAGCTTGATTTGCTGAAATGTATTTATACTTGAGCCATTTTGATGGATTTGACTCAACATGTAAATAAGACTTTACAAATGATGGACCTGCCAGAACTCTACAGATTTCTAAGCTTAAAATGAGATGTAATGTATCAATTAGTGAGAGTTGCTAGCAGGCAGTGGACAACACCAAGCTTTTCCCTGTTTCCAGTCTTTGTGCTAAGCTAAGCTAACCTGCTGCTGGTTCCAGCTACATATTTAAAAGACAGATATGAAAGTGGGATCTACCTTCTCATCTAACTCTTGGCACTGAAGTAAATTATCCTATTTCCAAAATGGTCAAACAATTTTTTAAATAAGAACGTAAAATTAAGCAATATAGGAAATGTAACAACTATTACAGCGTAGTACTGCCGATCAGCTACGTTCAAAACTCCAATTTATAGCTGTCGTTTGATAATCAAAACTTTCAGTTATCTGATCATTTCTGTAAGACAATCTTTGATTCAGCATAGTTTGCCTCTCCCGTGTTAATAAATCACTAAATCAAAAATTAAAGTTAATTATCAATCAGAAAGCATTCTCAGCCTAACTGGGCTATGAATTGATGCTATATTTGTGGCATGTGCATTGAAGGTCAATCCAATATGTTAAAAATTACAGTTTAGGTCAATTCTCATAAAATAAGAAGTCACATATTATCAGTTCACTTATTTCCTACGTTTGATTCTATATATTCAATTTGAGATTTGATGTAATTTTATTATGTTGTGTTATAATAGTGATATTGTGATTGTATTATTTAATGTATGTATTGCACAATGTATAAACATCTATTCTAATAGCCTATATATATTTAATATGTAGTTGTTATCAATATAAAAACTACTTGAATAAACAATGATCAAAATATATTGGCACTATTTATGTTCATTTGTTCATTCTGTATGCTGTGCATCAGCCCAGTTTGTTCCTCTCATGTATTGCCATTATATTTGAGACACAGAGCAACGTTCTTTTCTTTATTTAGTCTTCTTTAAATATCCCATTTGAAAACCTGTAGTCAACACATTGGCTTACAGCTGTTATATACATGAACTGACATTAAACATTCTGTTGCTGTGCCATGCAGCTTCAATTAATATAAAACTGTGGGTTTTTAAATTCCTGAGGATCAACATGCATGTGGACTGAAAACCACGCGCCTCCAGTGGGCTACTATGCATGCATGGATGAAGTGGTTTGGGTTTATTGCTGACGTGTTGCACCGCCCCATCACTCCATAGTAGCGAGATAAAGCCCACGAGATAGAGCCAAATAAAATACCCCGAAGGACAATAGACCACAATCGATCATATATTCAATCAGAAAGATATTTCTAACAGCTGCTGACCGCAGATCTGTGCGTTGTTCACATATATGCACAAACATAGCGGTACGAGTCCACATGGGTTATGCAGACGGTGCCACATAGACAACAACTGCTTTCGTCAGCGGCTGGGCCGGTTTCCCTACACATTATTATAAAATGTAGCCTGCACGCAGCGGACTGGATTGTTTTATTGGTTTCAACGACATGCGTCTCTGACTTACCGTGTAGTGGATTCGCAGCGTGTCTCCCATCGTGGAAAGTACAGAGCAAGTTTCGGGTTTCACCTTGGGTCAGAAGAGTTAACTGTTAACACCGCTGCATGTATTTGGCACTGGGTGTCATTGTGTTGAGAGCCGCCGCGTTGCTGCAGTAGGCCTGTGACTGTGTAACATCATATGCGTCTCACTCACCAGGGTCTCCACCTGCAGCTCCTCGGCTTCACCGTCCTCTCCCCGCGCGAGTCCACAGGTGAAAGCCGCGAGCAGCAGCAGCAGGAAAACGCTGCTCTTCATTGTAAACTTCTGGAAAACAGCGGCCGTCCAACAACTTCCGTGTAGGCTTCTTCGACACACAGGAGAGAGCTGCGCGCTAGCCTCCGTGTCCAAAAATGGCTCAGCGCCCAGTAATGCTGATGTGTTATAACGGAGTAGCGATAAGGACTCGCGGCCCGTGGACGTTGTCCCAACACCTGGGTCTCCCTGTAGATCCCGCCTCAAAATATTGCGCCAGCATCCCATCAGGCTGCCGGGGGTGAGAAGCGGAAGCGCTATATGGGGGCGCTGCTGCTCCATGTGGGAGACAGTCAGGAGCACACATCCATAGTTAGAGGCTTCTGTGCAGACGCCACGTCGCTGCTGGTCCCTCACCAGCCCTCTGGACCTGACTGCAGACAAACGAAGCGGATAGGGAGCAGGCAGATGATGTTAAATACAGTGATGAAAATATTTACGAAAGCCCATGAGAACTACAATTTCAACATTCAGGGCTAAATAAAAGTTCGGGGCAAAACACATTATTATTGACTACTTATATAGAATTTAGCACTGAAATAGTAATATGTTTGTGGGTGTGCTTTTATCAGCTTTAATTTAAATTGGTTTTAGCAGCAAAGGCAAACAGCCCCACAACTTTCAAATCTTGCTAAACTCTGATTGGTGCATGGCAGTACATTACATCATCTTTTCCCAAATGAGCTGACTTCAAACCCTTCAGAAAAGCAAGACCAGAATAATAAATTAACAACCAGAGCTGTTCTGTGTTTACAGGACCACATTGAGAAGAAAACGTTTTCAGGGCCTTTACAATCTTGTAACAGCATTAAGTCTATGTGAGCTCAAAATATGTAAAACAAAACAAACATTGTGTTGTACAAGGTCGATTAACACATATTCAACTATATGATTCTTATAGATCTGTTATATATAGTAAGACAATTAGATGTTCTCAAAACTGACAGAAATATTGAGATCGATTTATTTCACCTATGAGTCACTCTCATCACTTGTTTTTAGTTTCAGTGTAACGTTCGATCCTTTTAGACAGAAACCCCCAGTGTCTTGTTAACAGGGTCATGAAATGCCAGCGAGTCACATATGAAGCATAGATGTGATAAGAAAATGAAAAAAATATTGCTTAATTAACAGAAGTTTGGAAATGTAAAAACACTATAGGCACATTTCCGAACTACAAGTACACATACCTCTCCAGCAACAACCCAGGAACATGATCATCACACATTTAACAACTTTATGGACTAGTGGACATATGTAGCATTTAATAGCCATGTATTTGTTTGTTTAGAAACCATGGATGTATATCAGAAGAGAAAACTGAATCTCAAACTAAGAGTCATACATGCCAAAGAGATAGACTGCCCAAAATCTGTTGCATTAAAGAAGAGATAGCATGTTTGGCTGCAGACTTCATTTCCCTTTGTCATCTGTGTTGCTGTCGTCCATCAATTTATTTCACTTCCCCTTGCTTTTATTTGCAACAATGACCTGGAAAAACTACAACCAACTGTCTCAAGTCCTCGGTTTGCCAGAAGGAGATTGTGGAAGTATCACCGGACCAGATTGCAGTATTTGTGCCACATGCTCATGCATTAGAAAAAGTTTTCATGCAGAGAAGTTAGTTTGGCAATAAACTCTGTTAGATGGTGCTAACTAAAACAAACTGAGGCTGCTCAGTGATAAATGTGGTGTGATGCCATGCTGCTTGCAGGCTCAAGCACTGTGCTGCTTATTCATGTCTGATTACCGAACCCTGGTGAGCAACTTTGTATGTCAATATTATGCCAAAAAGCATTGTAAATGTGCAGTCAATATAACTTAAATGGCTGAAAGTCATTGTAAATATGGTCAACAACATTAAAACCCTGGCACAGTTTAAGCACTGAAATATAAATAAATGATTCATCTTTGTGTGCAAACCAAAGATAAAACCTGCTTCCTTCCCTTAGATCACAGAAGTGGATATGAGAGTAAATGCTGTTGAAACCCATAGTGTTTGTTATTAAATACCTGCTGGTCCCATCGCCACATTGAACTGCATCAAAATTCTCTTATCGGCTTTAGGATTTACACGATGGAGTCTTTTTACAGCAACAACATGAATAAGGACTATATCACACTGAAATGATCTCTACCATCTATAATACTTTCTATCAATGTTTTATGATCATTTAATGTACTTCAATTTAGAAAATGTACTTTGTTCCTCATTTTTGGATGAAAGTATTGCGCAAGTGTTATGCAACACTGACGACCAAGTCTCCATTTCCTGAAAACTTCACAACTTCACACATAACAGGGACTTTATGTAACAGGGTGTTAGGCTCAGTGGCAATTACATTTATTGCAAATCCAAATGATTTCTTGTCATTTCTCCAGTGAGCACAAAATTGGTCATCTCTTGGAAAACCTGAGCTGGTTTACAATGTTTTAATGAAGGACGCTGGTGAAGCTTCTCAGTATTTGGTATTGTGAGTGTATTGTGAACCCATCCTGCAAATGTACTTTATTTATATTTTTACATTTGCTATGATACAGTAAATAACATTATTGAAAATAAAGTTTCCATTTATATGTTGTCATGGGCAATCATTTAAAAAAGGTATACAGTTATACTAAAGTTTGACAATATGTATTTACTTATATCTTTTAATCTTATGGTATAGCACAAAACTAAATTGGCTCGCATGGAAACTGTAAATGTGAAGCTTAACCTATATGTTTAGGATTTATCTGTTGTTACCAAGGCCGGACTATGCAAAGAGGGACACTGCCATAAGGCCCCAGACCCCCAGAGGCGCCCTTTGATACCACAAATTCCACCTGCAGCATTACTGATATTACCACAGGGCCCAACATAAACTTTTATTGCCCCCTGGTAGTTACTCTGGTGTATACAGTGTGTGTGTGTGTGTGTGTGTGTGTGTTGTGTGTGTGGGGGGGGGGGGGGACGACAGGCCCCACACAAAGGGACACGTCTGTATGTGGACTGGTGGCAGTCTGTGTATGTAATGTATGTATGCAATATGTTATTTGTATTGTATGTATGTTTCCAAGACAAATTTCCTTCGGGACAATAAAGTCTATCTTATCTTATCCCTACAAACGTGGTTCTCAGTCCTCTCAAAACGACTGTCAACAACATTACGGTTTTGGTTTTGGCCTCAAATCTCGCGAGATCTTGTTCACTGCTGAGTTGTCCCCGCAAGGGATATTACAGTGAGACTTTTAGTAGAGGACTACTCGGCTAAGGTAAGTGAGGACACTGGCACCTCCACTAACCCGATAACACACACGCAGGTCCCAGCAGGCGGTTAAATAATGGTGTGTTTGAGGACCGACTCGTGCTGGTTGTTTAGTCTCTGAGTCTCTGGGGTGCCCGCTGAGGTGATAAGCGGATGGATGAATGGGGTGGATCGGGACGGAGGATACGCTAGCTACCGTGGCGTCTCATCGACACGATTAGAGCTAAATTACACTGATAAAGTAGTGCACGACATAATAGATCACGAGGAAACTCTTAACGATAGATGAAATTAAGCGTTAATCTTTATCTAAAGTGTAGAGATGTGCGGGGCCGATGTAACGGAAACGGTTAATAACGGTAGTATAGCCGTTAACGTTAACGGCTAATAACGGTCGTATAGCCGTGACGTTACCTTAATGTTACCTTAGCATCTCCGGCTAGAGGTTAACGTGACTTGAGTCACCCCGGAGCTGAATTAACATAATCAGGCGGCCGGCATATCGTGTCCCTGTTCGCACGTAAATCACCACTTTAAGAGCTCATGTTTAAAAACCTGTAAACCCACCTGTGAGCGGAGAGGAGCTGGTGTCAGCCTGTGACAAGTGTGGCGATCCTCTTCAGCACCATGGACAGCTAGCCCCAAGTTTATCTTCTATTTCAGTCTGTGCATTCTCTGAATCCCTCACTGGTTTGGTGGGATGCTCAAGTCAATGCACATTATATATAAATATATATATTATTAAAAAATATACAAATGGGCATCAGTGGAGCTTTTATGCTCTGTTGACAACCATAACTGCAAAAAGATTTTTGGCCTCTTGATATTCAGAGTGGATAACTAGACTGCAGACTCCTCGTGAAAAAGTGTTCTTCTTGTCCCCGTTTGAGTCCAGGTGGCTTTGGGGTTGGAGTTGAGACTGATTGTGTTTAAGCCCGGCCTCGTAATGTAGGACATTGTGCATGTGCTCCGAGGGCTTGGCGTTGTTGCAGGATAACATTTGAAGGAGTCTGAACAGATTGTGCTGCAGCCTGGAGTCATGGCACTGACATGCATCTCCTCCGCCCGCTCTGTGACAATGACCGTGGGCCGTTAGCATAGCTTGCACACCTGGTGTGCATGTATAAGGGAGAGTTTCTGGCATAGTGGTGCAGTCTTTTCACAAAAGGCAAAAGGTGAGCTGGAGCATTCGCTTACGCCTTACAGACAGGTTAGCTTATAAATGATCCTCTCTTTCTTCCAACGTGTTTGTGGTTTAGAACAGCATCCTTCATTGGATTTTGTTTATCTTGCAAAACCGGAACGCACATAAAAGTATCACTAAATAGTTATTTCTTCTGTTCCCTTTTCAGCCCTCCTTTATAATCTATCCCTGCTGGACGAGTCTAACATTCGCAGAAAGGCATCTGTAATCACGACTGTAGCCACACACTGATATTTAAGAACTTCATCTGAATCATGGGGAACATTTTCGGGAGTTTGCTGAAGAGCCTCATAGGGAAGAAGGAGATGAGGATCTTGATGGTGGGGCTCGATGCTGCAGGAAAAACAACAATCCTCTACAAGCTCAAACTGGGGGAAATAGTCACCACCATCCCAACCATTGGTAGTTGCACAGTCAAAATTACATATTGCCATGCACACCAATGAGTGGACCACCATGTTTGCTTTACACGTTGTGTGACCCTGCGCTTGTTTTCAGGGTTTAACGTGGAGACGGTGGAGTACAAGAACATCAGCTTCACTGTGTGGGATGTGGGTGGGCAGGACAAGATTCGCCCCCTCTGGAGACACTACTTTCAGAACACACAGGGTGAGAAGAGCTGATCAAAGGGTAACTCCGGCAAATTTCCCATTATTCTCCAGAAAATAATGTATTTTGTTTGTTCCGCTCGCTGTTTCAGGTCTAATCTTTGTGGTGGACAGTAACGACAGGGAGCGTGTGAACGAAGCGCGAGAGGAGCTGATGAGGATGCTGGCTGAGGACGAACTGAGAGATGCGGTCCTCCTTGTGTTTGCCAACAAACAGGCAAGAAACCACAACTGCTCTGCATGTATACACACATATTATAGACAGTACATATGCATTAATACACAACAGGGTTATAGTGGAGCATCAACCCAAATAAACCCACCTCTTAGTATCTTTGAGATAAAAAGCTACTTCAAGCTGATTATTTGTGATTCAAATTTAAAGACCATATTAACTTTAGAAATACTATAGGTGAGTGATGGAAAAAGCTGCTCTGGCTTACAATCCTCTGTCAGTTTTTGTACATATTGAACAAGTACGATACAATATGTTAATTAGTGAGCTTCAGTGGCGCTGGTTGGCAGATGTTACCTTTGGACAGAGCCAGGCTAGCTAAGCTGTCCGCCTGCAGGCTGAAGCTTCATATTCACCACACAGACATGAGAGTGGGATCAATTTGATCATCAAACTCTCATCAAGAAAGCAAATAAATGTAGTTCCCAAAATATAACACTATACCTTTAAAGTTTACCTTTCCATTTTCCATTGTATAACTGTGGGTACATTAGTAAGTCTGCAGATGAGAGTTTCATTTTCAATTAATCTACCGATTACTTTTTGGATTCATTGATTAAGTGTTGGTCTATAAAATGTTAGAAAATAGTGAAAAATGCCCTCCACAATTTCACAGAGCTCAAGGTGATGACTACAAACGACTTGTTTGGTCTGAAGAACCATCAAATATCCAAAGATGCTTAATTTACTACTATACAACAAATAAAAGCAGCGAATCTTCACATTCAAAAAGCTGAAACTAGACCACATTTGGCAGATTTCCTTTAAAAAATGATTAAAACGATTGGTGTCAATAGAATGATCAATTCATTTACTTCACATATGCATAGAGGTGCGCACATACATCCATAGTAAATGCATACTTTAACACAAACAACAAAAGAAGACATCGGCTGCCTTCAGGGTCTCGCTGATCCTTGGTTTTTCACACTCTCTCCTCACTGAACACTTTAACAGGACTTACCGAACGCCATGAATGCTGCCGAGCTCACAGACAAGTTGGGCTTACACTCCCTGCGTCACCGCAACTGGTACATCCAGGCCACCTGCGCCACCAGCGGCGACGGCCTCTACGAGGGCCTCGATTGGCTGGCCAATCAACTCAAGAACAAGAAGTGAGAAGAAAACTGGAACAAGCTTCCAAACCCGTCCAAGTTTTTACTTGTTTTGGGAATGGGGGCGGGAGTTAGGTACAGGGGATTTCATCAATAGGTGAAAAGCAAGATTCTGGGTTTAACGGGAGATTTTAGGCTTTAATTTTCAGTCTGTTGCGGTTCCCTTCTTTAAAGCAGATTCTCATATACTTCATATTTAACCACTCACGCACACACACACACACACACGAAAAACACACACACACACACACATACTAAATGTAAGCAATCACAGCAGACACTTGCTTTTCCTGTGTCCACCTATTGTCCTTAGGTGCAATGTACTGTATGTTCGTCTCTAGGTGCTGTACCACGTTGTGTGTGACTCCACTGAGTCAGCAATGAGTCAAATGTGACTTTTTGTTGATGTATGTCTTTCAACTGTCAGTCCTCCATACAAAGAACTCATCTGTGTCAGTTGCACTTCCTGTTTTTTTTGTTGTTGTTTTTTTGATAACAGAGCCATGTTTGGGAACAATCACAGCTGGCCGATTTGAATGTGTGAGCAATGCTGAGGCACTTACTCAGATAAAGTGTGTGAGCGTGCCCACAAACTGTATGTGTTTGTGCAAGCGGCCCAGTCAGTATTAATCATGAAAAAGACAACAGGACTGGAGTTTCCGCTGTCACACGTCCTCTTACTGCCTCATTTTGAAAATCTTTTGATATCTGTGGCGTGTTTTTACTCCCTACGTGGCAACCCCAAGCATTGAAGCCGCCCTTTTTAAATATCTGAAAACGCACAACACGCTCTCGACCGCCTGAGCTGCATGCATCCTGGTTGATCTCGCTGGCATTGTTGCATACTTTTCCATCCTCGGAGATGCATGCATGTTGACGCTGTTTGTGGATTCTCTCTAGCTGCCCTCATCGTGTTCTGCATTTAGTTGTTAACATGCGCTAGGTACAGTATAGTCAGCTTTATGGTCTTTTTAACGTGAAAGCAGTAAACAAAACACAACACTCATGACCTGCACAGCTGTTGCTTGTCTGCCTTCACGTGGGTCCGTACGAGTACTCAAACTGCATCAGGTTGCTCTCGCTTTCTGTGTTTTTGTCTCAGACTTGTATATCGGGGGGGGGGGGATAACTTTATGTTACTGAATGTGAATATTGTTGATGAATCTATAAATGACTGTAATATTTATTTGACATGCATATTCCTTTATTTCTGTGATAATTATGTGAATGAAAGCAGGGTAAGCAGACCAATTAATTCATCAGCACATCCTTGACTCGCTTCTGAACAGCAGACGAGTTACTGCGTCACCACTGATACCAGCAAAATCCTCAGACTTCTGATAAATAGAACAACTTCTTGTGTGCTATACATGGGTACTACTACTCATATACCAGTGACAGTACAACATACTCTAAATATACTCCAAGTTATGAGTACATTGTTCATATTCGCAAGATATGTTAATCATGATTTGGATCATTTGTTTTTTGTGGCCTTATAGTGATAACTTTATTTGATTTCTTCTCAGCTTGTTCGGTTCTGATTTTGAGTCACATATATTGATCTGTACTGAATGATTTACAGCTTTATTTCTCTACGCTGTCAAAAGACGATGTTTGCACCACAGTTTAAGATGATTAGGCAAAAGTTTTGTCCTTTTTTCTGCCTTCATTCATATTTGGTGGTAGATTTCTTTGGTTTTCTTTTGGGTGTTTAAAACATTGATGTAGACTGTCTGTGAAACAATGATAATCAGTGCGAACAAAAAACAACTTGATGATTCACTACCGTTATAGTTACACAAGTAGATTTTTTTTTTTAAAAACGGTGAAAACTATGTTTCAATGCTGAATGCAAGGAGACATCTGTATGTCAACAAACAAAATCCTGATATATTAAAAATAAACCCATTTTCTCTATGAGCTGTCTCGTGAACTGTGAGTGAGTGTTTGTGATGGATTTCGTATTTCCATCTTAAATCCATGTTCACAAGTGACTGAAAAGGTGGAGAAGATCTGTCTGTGACAAGCTGCCACCAGAAGAGGGCAGGCTTTAGCAACGGTTTATGTTGTGGTTCACAGCATCAAGAGCTGTGTCTACATTTCATAAATCAAAGTAGTGGCTAAATTATCTGTTTGACCCTCTTTATCATCTCAAAAAAACATACTCAACATTGTTTTATCGATAGCAGTGGGGTCGCTGGGACCCCAAACAATGAGGAAGTAAAGCCAATCTCAACAAAACTCACAGGTTGAAAGGGAAACACCAGTATTTTACTGGCTGTGTCCTTAAAGTGGGCTGTTTTTAGTCCAAGAAATAAATAACAAATTTGCCCTCCAAAATTTTTTTCAGGCAGAGTGGAGTTTACTGTTAGAAAACACCTTTTCAGACCAACATGAGAAACTGTGGAACATGCAAATGTTTTTAAATTAAACAGCTTTTAAAAAACTGTTTTGAATAAAGTATTGAAACACATCCAAACACATTCATAGAATTTCCTGGTCTGTGGGACGGCTGTTTGGAATAATTGCCCCAGTATTTCTGGGTTCTTGACGATGGCCATGTCTTGTCATTTTTCTGGCAGTTTTTTTTTTTTTATCATTTTGCAACTTGCAGAGTATGTTTTTGGCAACCATGGGTTTCAGTCATACTTCATTCCCCATCAGTCTGCTGAAATAACATTTACTGTAAGTAGAAAAGCACATTTGGGTCAAGTAGACTTAGTTCCTGTTTACCTGTTGCTGCTTATAATTTGTAGGACACACGCGAGGAACACGCTCATCATAATAACAGATCCCTGACAAATGCTGAATGTTCCATTCTGTGTGCGTGTGTGTGTGTGTGTGTGTGTGTGTGTGTGTGTTCTTTGCTACTTTTTTATTGAGAATAAAAGTGCAGAGAGTACAGACTGACCACTTGTGATGTTTACAATCTTTTTGTGTGTCCCTGAGTTTCCTCTGCTCCTCAGCAGGCTGTTTCTATCAGGACATTTTCCTTTCAGAATGGCTTCCTGGTAGTGGTCAAATATTAACCATTTTGAATGCACTCTTTACATTTCAAATAACTGACTGGAAAAGAAGTAGATGACTCTTTCTGGTGAACTGGAGACATTTTCTTGTCAGATGTATAATTCTATGGAATTAAACCTGTTTAGATGGAGAAGTTTGTTTTGCTTGCGTGTGTGTGTGTTTGTGTGACAGAGAGACCGGGGCTGCAGGCAGAGCCAGTTTCTACCGAGCAGTTCAGCTGGCTCCCCCACTCTTACAGGCGGACGATGTTTGCATGAAGCTTGAGTGATAAACTGACACGATGACATGTGATAAGATGGCTGGCTTCAGGAAGAGCACTTCCTGCTGCGCAACTTGACTTGGTTTATAATACTCACATGTCAAGCAATTAGCTGATAGTGATAACTCGTTAAATTAGTCCGAAGTACATCAGTAAGATCATGCAGCAATAGAATGATACAGCAATAAAATCAATCTTATATTACCAGGGCACCAGCAAAAAGGAGTGGAGGGGTCAAAGCTCGATCGTTAACACAACAGATGTATGAAATGCTCCTGAGGATCAACAGTGACAGAGTGACTTATACAAAGGAGCAGGTGGATAACAGATATTTTTTAATTTGTTGTCTTTTTTAGAGGACAGTGCTAGAATAGGTGTATTTTTTTTTCTTCAGGGTGGTACAAATGGTCCATTCTTTATTGTTTGGTTATGAGGGGGAATGAGGAAGTGACTCACCTGTTCTGATAATAATATGTCGACACGGTATTTGCATTTTCACAGTCATTGAGCACAAAAATGTGTAGAGTTAAAATTTAGTGGACACAATGTTCATTAAATGTATGACAAATGCAGAATAAAGGGGGAAATGTCACCCCTGCACAGCTTCACCCACGCTGCTGTAAAGGTTTTTCTGCACATCAAGTCTGAGAATCAGTGCAGTTTTTTGAGAACAAATGTCATACTTTGTCAGAGGTTTCCAAATGCATGGTCATTTTAGATGCTGGTACCAAAAATCATGCTCATGATAAGACATGCCTCTTTCTGAGCTCAAAGTGCAGTGTAATCACAATGTTCTTGGTTTGATTGTGACCTTTGCTGGAGATCATCCCACTTAATCTCCGTCCACATCGCCCATCTTAACAGTCAAACTTTCAAATAAAGGCAAAATGCTCCACCATCACATTGTTGGGAAAGCTCTGCTGTGTAATGGACACAATTTCTATCTTGGTGGGACTGTACAACCTACAAACTGCACACACAACAAGTTGCAGTATTTTTTTGGTATTTTTCCTGTTTGGAAGATGTACTTCTAAATTATTTCCCTCCTCTTGGTTTTGTTCTGGATCGTCCCAGAACTCAACTTAAAATAAAATGAGATATGAGTGTTTGTTGTCTTTGTCTCTTAACTTTACTCCTGAGGTCATCCCTCACGCTTTCTTACTGATGTTTCTTTGAATGTTATTTCTGTTTTGTAAATTCTAGTTTGCTGGTAATTCTACTTTTGTCCTGTCTGTGTAATATGACATGCTTTTATTGTGAAGCACTTTGTAGGCCAACTTTTGTTTGGAACATTGCTAAATAACTTACTTTACTGCAGACCCGCTGTGCAATATAACATCCAAAGCCTTCCTCATCCAAACTATTTGGCCTTGCATGAACATCTAAAGAATGATTCATATTTTTATTTTACAAAATAAGTCCTACAAACTGTTTCCATCCACAATATCGATCAATAAACCTAAATCAACTATAGGAAAAACATTATTGAAGACTGACACCTGCCCTGAATGTATCCATTCATGTGTTTCATGGCCAAAAAGCATCGTCATTTCCCTGGATGTGGAAGAATGACACTCAGCCACTGAATCTTCCAGGTTGTGTAAGTGCTGTGCAGGCAGGCCCTCCCACTTAAATCAGTGTCAGAGAAACAGACGGTCCCACCGCTGATTGGCTCCGCGCTGAGCTCCAATCATTGAGCTGTAGTGATTCCTCTCACACGAGATGAAGCGGACAGCTCGTAAAGTTACGGCTCAGTTAAATGTCAAACAGAGAAAACACCAACAGGTTTTCACTATAGGGTGGATTTCCGTCTTCATTTGAATACTGGAAGAAAGCGAAGGAAAGGAATAAGAAAGACGATTGTTGTTTCTCAATGGACTCTATCGGATTGAAAGGACCGAGCACGATTTTCGATGCGAAAAGGACAAACGTCTTCTTATTAATGTGATGGAAATGTTTGTTTAAAACGTCACCAGCTTGGAAATTTGAGTGAGGATGACCGTCCTCACGAGGAAGGTGCAACAGGTGCTGTGCGTCCTGTTGCCGTTTGCTCTCCAACTCTGCAGTGCGCAGACACAAGGAGGTGGGCTCACAAACTCTCTCTCTCACACACACACACACACACACACACACACACACACACACGCACACACACACTCATATTTTCTGTACAGCATCATCCTTTTTTTTATTCTCAAATTTCCCAGAATATATTTGATAAATCCCTCCGAACACCTGGATTAGAGTTGCTCTCTAGCCTGCTGACAAACACCTGTCCTACCTCACAAACCACGCACGAGAACCTGTTCCGCACACGTACAACTTGTTTGCTGTGAGTCACCCGCACCTCTCCCACGACTCTGTGTGGGCTTTATCATGTTTGACTCAATTGTTTCAAGGCTTTGCGACAGAGGAGCCCAACCTTACACCGCCTGTTGACTGACAACCACAGTCAGCCCAATAGAGATTTCCTTTCAAATAAAAAATAAAAATGCTCTCTGTAAAAGTGTAAATCTCCTTTAGAGTAAGTATTCTGATTTACTAGTTAAGTAAAAGTATACTACAATATAAAAAAATAAATAATAATAATCAAAAGTCGAAAGTGCATACTTAGCAGTTTGCAAAGGAGCAAAACCTCACAATTGAGAGGCTGCAACTTAGTAATGTTTTGTTGCCAACAATGACTCAAATAAATGTAGCTAAATAACAAGTGTAATATACTTCCCTCTGAAATAGTGAAGTGGAAAGTAACATAAGATGGAAATCCTCCATTTCACCAAGATTGCACTTTAATAAAGATCTCCATTAAATGTATTGACCTGATGCATTTGAGGCAGAGAGAGGGGTGTTGTGATTTGAATCCCAGCAAGACTCTGTGAACTTTGACCTCGTGCTATTGTTGCAGTCACCTGGCTGCAGGTGAATCGAGTGGTGCTCTGATTCAGAGAAGAGCTATGTGAACATGAGATCATCGATGCTTAGGCCGCTGATGCTCAGGTGACAAAGCCTCTGGCACCTGAGGTAAAAACAGTATTATAAAAAAATACAGTTTGATCACATGAGAAGGAAGATTTTTTTTATTTAAAATTTTTTAAATTTGTAAGAGGTTCTGTACTGTACTGGATGCTGTAAATGCATTCTGAAATTCATAACAAAGTATAAAACACAAGTTAAAACATAAGTTAACTTTATATTGAAGAGGAGCATTGATGCAAACCTTGATTGAAACATTTGCTTGTTCAGAGTTAGTAATGTCCATAAACTAATGACATTTCAGTAGTTTCTCCCATCAGTCCTGCTCTTTAAGCCAGTTGTTAAACAGGATTTTGTTGTGCAGTAACCATGTAGTTCTGAAAGTCATTGCTGTTGTTATGTAGATGTAGGTGTACCTGTACTCCAAACATTTGATGAACATATCTGTTGTAATATGAGGTTAATTGGCCAACCATACTAAAATGAAATAACCAATTGTAATATAGTTTTTTTGTGTGTTTGGACTCGTGGTGTCTTTTTAGGTTAAACTTCAAAGCCAGTTGTAATTTTAGATCCTCACTGCACTTTTCTGCAGGAATCAAGTGTTTGATTATTAAGTGAAAATGCTTTTCAAAACACACAAACACACATTACACAAACA